TATCGATTTTACAACGAAAAGGAAAAAGAAAAGGCAGAAAAAATGTTTCGAGTTAAGTACACGACGCCAACAAGATAAACTTCCTTTTAAACTGTTATGATGATTGAAAATTCTTTCACATGAAATTCCAAGTAAGATTAGTGACGGCATCGTCTTCTTCAGCGCCACTATCATTTACATCTGTAAAGGTTTCACCGAGATGTTCTCCCATGTATCAATCTTAATCTTTATTAGAAGTCAAAACTAATCTTTCAATAATTATTATGGATATTAGTTTCAAACATTTAAAGAAATGTTAAACGAGATCAGAGAAATTTAAATAAAATAAAACGGGAAAAGTTCGACTGCTCAGCTGCCTCATTCATCACATCACGAAACCTTGTTTTACAAAATTATAGCTTAGACTCATAAAATCTGTAATTAATTAATAATGATCCCAACAAGACTAAAGCTTAAGCAGAACTTGTTATTGAAAACACAAAAGATGTTCATAATATATTCGGCTAAATAGCTTGTGGATAAAAGAACCCTAATGGATTAAATGCAATTATTAGTTTATTGCTTCGTTCATTTTTACAGTTTAGTTTTTTTAAATAAGTATGAAGCGGAACCAACGTTATTTTATTGTTTTTATCCCTCTTTAATTCACTGTGATAAACTAAGAATTATTCTTGAATAATTCTCGCTCAGAACAACATTTTGTTTGAACCCGTAGGTAGTCGAACAAACAAGAATAATCATAATTTTTGTTGAAGACATTAATCTAAGACGAAAAAAATATCTGGTCATAGGTATTAGACAAGATACACAAGCTAATGTTCATTTATTTTAAAAATATTCATCCTACTAATCTGTGATCTTTAATTCAATCTTTGATCAACAAAAAAGAAGACAACTGAATCCCACGACTGTAAATATTGTGTTAGGTGAAATGCTTGCTTAAAATCCTGTCTAAAAATACTTTAATTTCTCAGATAACGTTCTGAGTAAACTTAAATTACAATTCAAGAGATTCAACAATAGGCTTGAAGGCCTAAGCAAATAAAAAATGATTCTTGAGATAGTGAATAGAGGAAGGATGGTTCTCTGGTGTTCACGAAGAATGAATTGGGTTTTCAATAATATGCTAAGAGGTTTCAACTCTAAGCATATGAATTGGAAAAAGGCTTAGGAAAAGGTAAGAAAAAGCTTCTCATTATTTACAAATGCAAATAGTCTGTCATCGCGTTTCTTCTTTCAGGTTGCACAGCTTACAAGGCAACATTAAACCACTAACAGATATTTACTTCAAAAAATAGCATGAGTTTTACTTTTCTTTTTGTTCTAGTTCTGTTTGTGGAGTATATTATGTAGGGAAATATCTTCATGAAATTTAAACAAGCGAAACTTTTTTCGTCCTTCTTATTCCGATGGGTGAACTTTTTTAATTTTAAACTTTTATTTATTTATTTTTATTTTTTTTCTGTTTGCAGTGCTCTGCTTTTCAAGCAAATTCTACCTCTTTATGCTTTGAAATGAGATGCTCTTTATCACATTTAATTATGCTTATTTCAACGGCAAATGTCCCTCTACCCACAAGAAAGGCTTTTCCCTTCTCTTTCAACTTTATAATTCATTCAAGAAAAAGTTTCCCTTCTGTTATATAAAACTTGAACTCAATCTTATTGATTTTTTTATAACGTAAAGGTTTCTCAATTAAAATCCAATGATTAATGATAAGAGTTTGCTTAAGTTCTGGAAATAGCACTTTTAATTTAAAAACATTGGACAATTTTTTACCCAGCCCTTGTGCAATTTTTATGTTTATTCCCCTATTTTTAAATAGCATCAGCGTATTTTTCTACCATTTTCCATTTCTTCAATCGACATAAATACCTCATCGATCCTTTCACAAGGCTTGTAGCCTCGTAACTGAATAAAAATCTTAATTTACGTTTTATTTCGGGTTTTCCAAGGGGCAGATCATCGAAAAAAATTGGGGGGCAAAAGCACTATTTTAACAAGAAGCACTAGAAGCACTACGAAGCACTATGAAGCACTATGAAGCACTAAAAGCACTATGAAGCACTAAAAGCACTAACAGGTTTCCCCCAACAGGTTTCTTTTAATTTTTGATTGTAATGTATGATAGTGTGTATGAGTTAAGTTTGAGGTTTAAGCTTTGAGATGATCATAAATCATGTTCAATACTATCAAAATAAATTCATAGTAATTAAAATGTATAAATTCCGAGAACATCACTTATGAACATCCCAAAAGTTTTAAAAGATCAAAAAAGTTTCAATTTAAATGCTTGAATAAAAATCAATTTTAGAAGATGTTTTTTGGGAAAAATTCCAAATGTGAATGTGAATAGTAAGCGATGCAAAGAAAGCCGGTTCCTACAAGAATGTTATAAACAGAATCCAACAAAATGAATACGTTTCTTTATGTTGCGGCTTCTAAGTGTTTTCTATAAATTTATGTTTGGGCTACCAATCTCTACCAACGAACTATTTCTCGGTCCTATAATTAATGTTTGATTACTCTACGAAAATATTATTTTGTTAAATAATTTAAAGGAAGAAGTAAAGAAAGAGAGTTTAGGAAGAATAAGCGACAGAAAATATGTTAAGCAAGAAATTAAAAGAACAGAGAAATCATGCAAAAACACTTCATTCCAAATTTTCATCTAAACTTACCATAATGGATCGTCAGTTCCCAAACTTTTTATTATTCGATCATCACAAAAAGTTGTCAGTTGAAACCTTATTTTTTGGTTTTTTAATCCTCAAATATCTATGTGCATAAACCTTTTTATATTTCAATTAGAAAATTTTGGCGCCTAAAAGAAAGTATGCTTAAGTATGCTTTATTTACCTAACGATCAAGCTAGCGATGATTTGAACTTCGCAGAGCCGTTAAAAATAAAAAATAAGCAAATGAGAGCGAAAAATGTGGAAAAAATCAGTTTTGAAGGAAACAAGAAGCACGAAGCACTAGTGCTTTTTGAAGCACCATTTAGGTCAGGGGGCAGAAGCACTACCATGATCTGCCCCTTGGGGTTTTCATAGGGAACCAAGTGAAATAAAAATCTATGAGAGAAATGTTTTCAAAAAAGAGAGTAAAAAATGAGAGAGAAAATGTGAGAAAATTATTTAATGTTTCATTTTCCAATTGTTTCAAAATGTTTGTTCATGAGTAATTTCTCTAACAACATGAAAATTGTTTTTAAACAAAAAGAAAAATCCTTGGAAATATTAAGAACTTCGTTGAAATGTTCAGATATTTTAATTTCAATATTAAGAGTAAATATTGATTTAAGGAAAATTACCAAACTTCTTTCGTATCCTTGAAATTTATATTACTCGTTCAGAGTCTAATTATATTTATTTTACATGAGGGTCTTATTATAAATTGATTACAATAAGAAAACCTTTAATAATCTAGATTGTTCGGTATTACATAATAGACTATATAACTAGGTAGGTAGGCTTTCAAGGTTTATTCATAAGAACATCCTTTTCAATCTGCTTTGCACGCAATCAATTGTTTTAAAATTCTATTTCATTTTAAATATCCTGCCACAGTGGGTGAACTACATTCCGTTACGTGGTGTTGTAGAAAAACATGTTTAATTAAAATGTTCGCATAAACTTGTTGAAACTTTTTCATAGAAATGTGTTTTTACAAGAAGGAAAAAATTATTTAATTATTCAGCCATAACTTTAATATTTAAATCAAATTCTTATCACTTGCTTCCTGCAAACTATTTGTTCTAATTTCTAAATGTTGATCCACTTAAATAAATATTTTCCTAAAAGAAACTTTATTAGAATTGAAAGTTTTTACTAACTTTATGATCATCATAAAACAACAATTTAATCCATGTTGAATCTAGATAATAAAAGTTGTGAAAATTTTAAGGAAAAATACTATTTTACGAGTATAAACTCAGATTTTTTGTTTTCCTAATAGTTCTACTAATAGAAAATCAAACTAATAGTTTTTAAAACTTATTTAAAAAGAAATGATTAAATATGTTGAAATCAAGAAAAAGTTAAATTTGGTAGATGATAAATTAATAATATTCATGAAACTTGAGATTTTTTATGTTTTACAAAATCGTAATTTTATTAAAAGCATTTGCATACTCAAGCATTCGTCTCCTGATTCACTGCAGGGAATTTTTTTATTCACTTCATTTCATGAGCATAAATATTTATGAAGTATACAAAGGGGAAAAGCGATTTCGAGTGAATGCATTATATTCTGAATCTTACTTCTAAGCACATTTGTTTGATTTTTGTTAGTTTTTGGTGTATGTGCCTTGAATGCTGAAAAGAGAAACAAACTTGGGTATGGTGGTTTCCTGCATTCAGCATGCCTTCAATTAAAAAGCAAATTTAATGAGAAATTGGGGAAAACTAAGAAGGAAAACTACTACCTAGCAATTTCCTTTGAAAGTCATAAATTCTAATTTAGTTAACGTGAAAGTTATTGAAATACCCCAAAGGCTGGCCTAAAGAAAGTCTAGCCGTGCGTACTACAGCAGAATTTACAACAAGCTAACTAACTTATTATTCAGTTAAACAATCTCGCATGACTCATGCCTTGCACTAAATTACCTAATTGAAAATTAATTCAATTCAAGTTTATGTGTAAGTTTCTGTTGCATTTTCATTTCTCCATTATATTTAAATATAAATAACAACATATAAAAGTCCTAGCATAAAATATAAGTTCTTGTTTCAGCACCACAATAAGTTCAAAGTTTAATATGTTTAAAGTTTAAGTGAGTTATTTAGTAATGGCTGCAGTTTCATGGTAGCAAAAATTTCTTTTGAAATTTGTGTAGTTGAAAATAAAAGAAAGTATATTTAGCTAGAATCTATTAAGGGAGACAGAAAAAGTTACACAATTTAATTCAATTTTCTTCGCAAGCAGATAATCTCATTGAAAACGGCTGAAGAAAGTTTTGAAAGAGATTAGGGACGGAGATAGCTGAAGACATCCTTGTCGTTTACTCTGAAAAGCCCGCGAAGGGAAAATAATTTCTTATGAATTGTAGGTTGGAAAAGTCAAACTTTTATTACATTTATCATCGCATGTTTTTTATTTCGAATATTTATTTACAAAGCTAAGTAAAACAATCAAATGGACATCAATTCAAATTTCCGGAACATCAAATGGAACCATCAGCGCTTTCTTTCTCGCCTCGCTTTTTATCAACGTTGTTTAACAGATAAGCGTGGAAGCAGAATGAAAAGACAAACGAAGGAAAAAGCTAATTTATGCCTTCGCCTTTTAGAGAGGGAAGGAAAACAAATGTTTGAGAAACTCGTGGCCTTCAGCAAAAAATTTTTTTACTGTAAATTGGCTTTTATTTACATGGCAACTTTCTTTCTTTTTGTTCACTTTTTTGTGATCCGAAACAACATTTGCCATCGATTATATCTTCTTGAAATGTCTAAAAGTAAAGAAAATTGAGTTGCTATCAAATAAGTTTAATGCGACACTCTTAAGTAATCTCATTCCATCATTTTCTTGTTCAATTTTTCTTTAGAACATCTTTTTTAACGAGGCTGAATGAAAGCGTTGAAGAATTAAAATAAGAAATTGAATTCTTTCGAATTTCTTTTTAAGCTTTCTATTTGTGATTTTTTTTTCCACGGAAAAGCGCTTTGCGTATAAATGTTAAACATGATTAAACGGTTCAGCATGCAAAGTACCAGAAAAAAAGAAAAATTACAAGAAAAATCTGTTCTCGTCAAGATTTTGATAAATCATTTCGTTAAGCATTTTTTTTTGTTGAAGCAGAAAAAAAAAGCGTTACAATGAGTAATTGGAAAAGTTAAGCAAGGTAATAATTGTCGTAATAATTGAAGCCATTCGTTATTCACCTTGGAAGAAAAAAGTTTTTCTCCTTGAAGTGCCCATTTGGGTTGCTCCCAAGAGTTTGCTGGGTAACTTATCTAATTAAAATTCAATGTGGCATTTGTGAGAGAAAGGGTGAGAAAAAATATAATGATTTGGAAAATGTCTCATTACTTTTTGATTGCTTTTTAAAAGGAGGGAAATGTTTAAGAGGACAATATTTCTCTTTTCTTAAGATATTGAATTGTGACAAATTGTGTAATAAAATGATTTGATGACTCATTGACTTAGTGTATCCTCCAAATGTTCTCTGATTTCATGATCAACGGCGCCATTATTTCCACGGATTAATGTAACCATAACATGCACAATAAGTTAGATTTGAACTTCCGAGACGATGGAAATTTAATAAATACAACCAAAATTATGGTTTATTCGAGAAAGAGGGAAAACTTTTCGCATAAAATTGATTTATTGTTGAATTAAATGTTTCAATCGCTTGTTCAATTTAACTCTGACTGCATTCAATTTCAAAGATAATTGAAATCAAATGAAGGAGTCAAACGACCTTCAAAAATATAAAACTTACATATTGAAATAAGGAGAAGTCTGTAACAGATGACATCATAAATGCCATATTTGTATTATTTATTGTAAGCATAATCTACAAATTTATGATGGTTTCCTTCTCCTTATACTTACACATATGTGTGAATCCAAACACATGTCGACTAAGGTTTGTTTCACATTTGGAAAATTATAGCATTCACGTGCATCACCCTTATTTGGGTGAATGTTTTTTCTGGTTACTTTATCACCTTAGGCGTTTCCTTCCATTAAATTCAATATTGAAGGATTAAATTACTTTTTGTTGAAAAGAAAACCTTTGCATTTTAATTATCCGAGAACTTTAATTGAAAAAAGAAAGGAAAAGCAAGTTTCATGTAATCAACTTGTAATCTAATTTGAATTTTATCCTAAGTTTTTTAACATTTAGTGACGTAGATTGAATTTTAGGAAGTGACTTATCAGATTTCTTTTCTTTTCCATTAGACACTCGTTACCGAATGGAAGGTTAATCCTTTATACCAAGAGAAGAATATAAAAACTTTGCAAGAAAAAATATCTCATGTTCTGATGATAAATTCATGAAAGAAAATTAATGGGCTCAGCCTTTCCTTGCCAGCTCATCATCATTTATTTCGTGTTCTTGTTCGTTATCATGTGTCTCTTGGTAATAAAATTTGTGTGATTACCATAAGTTATGTCACCTAATTAAGGGCGTCAGAGTGGAGAAAAAGAAGCTGGTAGAGATTTCACTCACTTTGTGGATTATAAATTTCATTAAACTTTCATTTTCAACTCAGGTAATGAACATTAAACATTCTGAACTGGGAATTCTACTTAGTAATGTATGCGAACATTAATCTTGTAATTTATTGTGAAGACGGGAACAAACTTTAATGCTAAAGGATTAAAAATTCAATAATGGTGCTCTCGATATGCAAAATATTCAAGGAAATTCCTTTTTTTATTGAATTTTTCTCTCCTTTCTCTTAAGTACTCGAGGGAAATGAAATTCCATTTAAATTCTCAGACTCGTCGAGTCACCACTCACTGTGCAGTTGACGTTTGGAATATCGAAAAAATGAAATGAGTGTCTTAATTAAGTGTCCAATGATTTATATTTATCGTTAAGAAAAGTTTTTCATTTCCTCTCAGTTAATATTGCAAGCTTTTCACTCCATTTCTTTTTATCTAACCTTGATCAAAAACGAAAGAAAGAAAAAAGAAAAAAGTTCTTAAAATGAAAATGCTTTGATCATCATTAAGTACGCTGTCCTTTCAGTCATTTCTCACATTTTGCTTTTCTTGATATTTTGGATAAAGGGAGAGTTTCAAAGTGACCCTCATAAATTTTTCCCACTTTCCACCCTCACATCTCACAATATAATTCATAAAAGATATTCCTTTTGTAATGATACTAGCAATGTCAGCATATTCCCTAAAGAAGTTAGGAATGAATTGCAAATACAATGGAAACAGATAACTAAGCTTTGAATCGGTTTTTCTTGTCAATAATAATCCGTCTTGAGAATTCTTTGCAGATTGCAATTTCAAATTTTCATAGCAATTTTACTTAAGACTTCATAAAAGCGTTGAAAAGTTTCACTTCACGTTAAGGTGTTTTCCATTTTTGTAAATTAAAATAAGTTTTCGTTTTTCCAATCGAGTCAAGTTCCTCAAATAAGTCAAGCCATCAGAAACGATGCAAGTTGGCAAGTCAAGTCGAGTTTATGCAAGTAAAAATATCTAAATAAATAAATTGAAAAACAAGAAATTTCTTCAGTTTGAAGATAACTACATTAATAAATTTAAAACTCAGACTTGAAGCAACTAATTATTTTAATAAATTACTGACTCAACAATGAGTGTCTTCAATGGAAACTACATCGAGACTTGATAGAGTTGTGTAACTAAGTAATTAAATTTGTTTTTCAGCAAAATAACGAGAATGTCTTCTTAATAATGTGATAAAATAAAATAAACTAAATTCTCTGCTTGTCGAGATGTCCTAATTTCTGTAAATTATGATAATTATAAACTTCTTTAAATAGGTATTCTAAAAAGAATCTGTTATTAAATCACCGTGACATCTCAAGTCGCAGTAATTTTATATAATATCTACTAGCAAAAGATTCAAAGCAGAAAATTTCAATTTTCTTAGTCTTGCGGAAGTAATAAATTTAAACCAACTTCTTCTCTTTTTCGTTAGCTTATTATGAGAAAAAGTTTTTGTTTTGTTATGCAAGGAATTTTTTCCAGCTTTAGAAAGAAGCGTTGGATGCTCCTTTTAAGTTCAACACAATTTCAAAAGCATCTTCACATAAATTCTTTATTTTTTAAATTATACAATGGTGGGAAAAAATAGAAAAATGTACTTGCAAGCTAGCAAGGAAATTAAGGTACGTGAAATATTTATAACTCTTTATAACTTAAATAGTTTCAGTTTTTCTTAAAATATCTACTTTAGTTTTATTAACTTTCCTCATTTTCATATTTTAAACTTATTGTGAAATGGATTTCATTGCTTTTCAGCTTTGAGTGTAAACTTGGGCAACTATCTCAAAATATTTTCGAACACACTTCATCTCATTAAAATTTCAGAATGAAAAATTTTAATGACAATTTCAAGTTTCTTCACATCTTAGCTTTTGCTGTTTTCCAACTTGTGAAAGAAAAAGAAAAACGAAAGGTAAATACAGCATTGAATTATTCAGCAATCATCCCCCTCACAGTAGAAAATGTTTTGGCTCTTTTCCGAATCGCAACATCTCTCAATTCCATCTATAATTCATTTAAAGGTTTCCTGTTCGACACTTTCCTACGTTCTACAAACGTGTGTTCACTTGAATGAATCATTAATGGTTGAAGTTTTGGAAGGAAGAAAACCATTATGGTAATCTATAATACTTCAACGATCCCTTATTCTACCCTTAACTTAATACATTATTGATAGCTTTGATGGATATAGGAAGAAAAATATATTTTTAAAAAAGTGGTTCCGGTGTCAAATGCTGCAAGTGTAATTTATCGTCGCAATTATTTCGCAGATATCAGGAAAACCAAAACTTATTTACTTGACATTAGTGTGAAGTAAATCTTAGAGATCTAAGGTGACACCTGCTTACTATTTGATTTTAGGGAAACCGATACTTTTGGGATTCTGTAATCTGATTCACCACCATCACCGCATTAACCTTTTTATTAGATTTCAAAAACAATCTTTGGTTAAAGTTTGGTAAGAAAAATGTTTTTGTAGACTTTCTTAAACTTTATAAGTTATCAAACTGAAAATGAATGACTTGGAAACAATGTTTCGTTATGTTTTCTTGACATTTTTATAAGTCATGAGCGACAAAAACACATCACTGAAATCAAGAAATCATGGATAAAGGGTTTGAATAATTAAAACCAATTTCATTCGAAATCTTAAAAGATTTTAACTTAAGTATCATGATGAAAAGTTGTTATACTGAAAATTTAACTAAGCGTCTAGCTATTTATTTGAATAAATCAAGAGCTTTGAATTTATTTTTAGATGAAAATCTTAAGGGAGTAAGCAAACACAAGTGGAAATTCATTTAATTTTAAGCATACAATAAATGGCAACTAATCCCTGCTACTTATAATAAAACATGATGTATAGAAACGGGAATGCAAAAGACGGCAAAGACCAAAAACGTTTGGGTTTGCTACATGCTGAAATCCTATACAAATCTCCTTACGTTGTTGTTCTGAGTACCTCTTTAGCATTCAACATACGTGACAACATTCGTTGAGATTATGATTTATGTCGTTATTATGTTGATTCAAATTTCATCATGTCAAGAACAGAGAAGATAGATTACGATATCAGGTCATTATCTAGATTGTTAATGTGAGGTGTGGTATTATTTATTTAAATTCACATTCTAATCGCAATCGAAACAAGAAATTTATATCTTTAAGACAATAAAATTACCACTTAATGAGACGTGGACAGGTGAACGATTACTCATGAAATTATTTCATTGAAATTGACGATCAAATTAACTTAATGATCACTAATTTCTTCACATTAGAAAACAATAAACAGAAGATTTACGACTTTCCACTCGACAAACTTTATCCTCAAACTATTCTTCATAGTTCAATAGTTTCGGTCTTGTTTTTTTTAAGCCGGAAATGGTCGATGAATTATTTTTAAATTCCCCCTTGGCAGCTTGAAAAATATCGGAAAATATTTTCTAGAAGGTTTGTGCGAGGAGTCTGAAGATAAATCAAATTTAAAGCGATCGCCAGGAAATCTGCAAACTTTTTAATTTCAACTCTCTACAAAAATAAAACTTTAAAGCTGACGTTTAACTTGGATGAAGAACATCCTTTTGAGAAAAATGAGTTTTTTTTTACTCAAATAATTTTGTTATTCATTTCTACAAAGTGACTTTTCCACCATACTTTGAAGCGATGCATTTTAAATTATAACAAAATCTGAATCCAACAAATTTCATTTAATTTAATGCAAATTATATTCAAGCGCTTTGAAACGAAATTAATTTTGTTTTCAGAATGTATCTTCTCTGGTTAGCAAACAAAACAAAAACCTCGACAAAACTTACTTGGGGTAAAGTTTATTGTTAGGAAAAGTATTTTAATGGAATAGTTTCTAGAAGCGTAGGGGGATTTGCTTTTCAACACTATGCATGTGGATTGCATAACTTCCAAATTACCACTGAAATGGGAAAACTACTTGTATACTGATGAGTTCATGCTAAAACGAAATAATTTTCGATGTCAACGTTGCTTGCAAATGCGTTTTCCACATGAATGTCGCTTTTTATCCTTCCCTTTAAATTCATGTCCACTTGACGAATGTCATAATATTTCATATGCTTTATTAACCATGAAACCTTCTGCATTTAGGGAAGTAACCTCAGATGACAAATTACAGAAATTAAAATTCTATTAAAACGTTTAAGTGCACTTTTTGGGTGTCTGACAAGTTTCAAACACGTACACGTGGCAAAAAAATTTTTGTGGCAGAGTTTTGAAGTAGAATTGAAAAACTAGAAGCTCCGCATTGTTGTTGATGTTGGCTGAGGGCGAATTCACCCAAGAATGATGTTGAAAAACTTCAACTGTGTATGCTTGTAGCATAAATTTTAAGTTCATTACCATAACGGATTTAAACATCTTCATAAATAAAAATGTATGTGATATCCATATGCAATGCAGTTTGCATTCCCAATTATCTTTCCACATATATCAAAGAGATTAACACATCATTCATCATCACTATCACTTTAATTTTTTTTTCGCTTCATGCACACAACACGAATCGGATTATAAAATTGCAAATTGGCACAAGCTTGAGAGTTGAATGCAATTGGCAATTAGAGAGATAAACTTTTTTTCAATTCATTCAATGTTTATTCCTGTTTTAATGAATATCCTTTTAATTTATTCATATTATTTATATCCAACAAATTGAAAGTATTCTCTTGATGATGATACGTATCAATTTGCGTGTTGTTGCTTCTGTATTTAATTGCCTCGTTTTCAATGAAAAATGATTTTTCCAATGGAAATGAGAACGATAAAAGTTTATGTCAATAAGTCTACCAATTAAAATTCAATTAAAATTAGAAGTAGATATATCAATTGTCCGCCTGAGTTAACATCAACAATGAAATGTTAATTGATATCAAATGTAAGTAAAATACATTCAAGTAAGTTATGCCACAAGTGTCACAAACAATGATGGATTTGATATTGTTGAATGTAAATAATAAAGTTTTAATGTCAATCATAAAAGGCTAATTATTTTATTAACTTTCTCAATCTTCAACCTTTTTTTTCCCTTGAATGTAAAAGTCAATTTCGTTAATACATTTTTTTATTTCTTTCTTTGTCAAATAAATGATAAAAGAAAAAAACTGTTTGTCAGCTATACTTGATCTAAAAACCGAATTTCATCACATGCTTTAAGAAATGAGTTGAATTTTTGCAAGAATTCGATTATTCAGCAATTTTCATCTAATTTTAGAAAACGCGTCTCTAACGTAAAACCGAAAACTCATTTCATAATAATACTGCATGGTAGTTACGAGCGTGAAAATTAATATAACCGTCCACCTTCTTCCTTCTTGACACAATGATTTATTGTTCCACGAAATGCTTACTCACAATATTTTGTTTCTCAATTTTCCATCATTTAAAAAGCTTATGGGGTCGGAAAGCTGTTATTTAGTTTAACCGTAGGCTATTGCTTCCTTTAAAAAAATTACAAAACGTCATAGCACTCATGCTAAGCTGGCGAAATGTGAACAAGCTTTAAAACGAATAATGTGATGATGTGTTTTTAACACAGTTTGTTGTAAAAAATTTTATTAATGGCACAGGGAAATTTCCACAGAAGTTCAACGTGAGTAATAAATTATGTTGGACTTCTTTATATAGTCAAATTAATTGTTATAGGAAAATCGTTTATTTCTAACGAGTTTAGGTATCTGAAACAAAAAATGTCTCAACATTGTTTCATATCGCACCTTTTTCAGCAGTCATTTGAGGTAAATCCATCGAGATTGAATTTCCATGAAGAACTTCTTGTCACATTCTTAAAAATATTTTGAAAATTCAAATCTTGAGTCCATTAAACCTCCTGCACCACAAATCTGGTAAATAAAATCCTTAAAATAAAAAAAATCCGTGGAGTCATGTCTTGAGCATTAAACATGTCATAACCAGAGAAATCCTTATTATCATCTTAAGTTATTGTTGAAAATCAGAGGCAAATATTTAAAGGGTCTTTTCAAAAATTAAATGATAATTACTGTCAATTAAAACAAATTCGTCACGACAGAAGAAAGAAGTGAAAAAGCTTTCAAGACAAAAAGTGCTTTGAAAGACGGCATAAGCTGTCTTCTTTATCTTCTACTAAATTACGTACATCTAAAATCTGAAGAATTTTATTCATGAATGCTTGTTTGATGCTTCTTACGAACCCGAACCCCCATCACAAAATGACGCAGTCTTTTTGAAGGCTTGAGTGTAATTAAAATTGTTATTCGTTTCATAAACAAAGTGATTTTGACAGAAATCCTCTCCGTTAAAACTCAACAATTATTTGTTGTGCTGATGCTTTTACCCGCTCGTCTTTTTAATCCTCCACAATATTTCAGGAAACTTGAAACTTTTATACTGAAAAATGTGAAACATGAACAGAGCACAGCATGAAATAAATTAGGATATATGCTTTTATGTTTGCTTGTTATGCATTCTTCACAAATTTCGAGCATGTAGATTTTTATTTTAGCTACAAAAGAGAGCTTGTTAATGAATGAAGCTCAGTGAGATTTTTTGTCTAAACAATTATAAAAATTAGTTTAACGATTCAACGTGATGAGAGATTCAAAATAATTCCAAGAAGGAAAGAATGAAAAGCTTAAAGCATTAGCTCAGTCTCTTTAATTCATCAATTTACAAATCACTTACCCTTCAGGAATCTCCTTCCAACATCAATTTCAAGACTTCTTTCAACTCTTCCCAGCCTTTTCCCATTAATCTTATAAAGTATCTCTTTAATTTTGTGTTTATTTGCTAACAATAATTCATGCTTCCTTTAATGTCTTCGATGGTTTCGAATCAAACGCGATAACCAAAGCGTAGAGCAAAAACAAAAAAAATATTCAGTTGAGAATTTTATTGGCAAATTTTCTTCTTCTTCTCCCTCATACTTCGTCTCGGTCAGCATTACAAAGCAAATAAAAGAGAAAGTATCATCGGACACGCCAACTTGTGTAGGCAATTTACGAACATTTTATCTCCCTGAATGTTTTCTTAATGTCCATTATCGGTCGACTCCTCTTTATTTGACTTCTCTCTGGAAAATGTTTTCACAGAGGAAAACCTTTAAATCTCTGCTTAATGCGGCAATCCTTTCTCAGCATAATTTGGCAATAAAAACAATGTGTTATCTTTCTTTTCTAAGCTTTTAGTGTCAAGGCCACTTTCTTCTTCTTCATTTTTATCTATGGACTGATCCGGGTACGAGACATTAATGCGAACATGAATATATGAAGAGATTTTTAATCTCACTATTCAAAGATGAATCATGTAAATAGATGAAATGATCAGAATCAGACAACCGAAAAATTCCCCATGAGTATGTGAATTAATGTAGCTAAGAATTATGGTAATTTAAGAAGACATTTATGTTCATGACTGTCTGTAGATGCAATAAAATCTTCAAACATAATAAAAAAAAAGTCGTTTCAGGAAAGAAAAGATTTATCTAATTAAATTTTTTTATGCATTTCCACAGGATCATTTGAGTATATTCAAAGGAAGGAAAGCGTCACAACAGCTTAAAGAGGTTTTCTGACTCGTTGCATTGAAGTAGATTAACGACGTCAGTATTCTTATAATGCAGATTTAGTTCAGTAAGTTAAATAATTCAAAGTAGAAAGAGGATTATGATGAGATATTCTCTCACCATCGGCAAAACAACTTTAAACAGCGAAGGGGTGAATTTTCCCAAGCCATTATGTACCGGGAATGAATGTTGTTTATCAGAAAGAAAGGTCATTGAACCAAAGAAAAATTATTTTATTGCTTCCGAAAATCCTTTTCTATTCAGATAAATATCATGCTGTTTACCGCACAAAATGAGTGAGTAAGAAACTTGTTATTCGAAATTTACTTCCGTCACGTAAACACAGCGACAATTCTGACAAGTTAAAAATCAGGAAAAGATTTCTACAACACGTTTGGAGCGTTAATAAAGGAAAATATCTCAAAACCTTCACACCAAAAGTGACTGAAATTTGCTCTGCCAAAACCTGAATCGATAATGAATTAGGTAGAACAAAGCCGATAAAATCATCAGTTCAACAGGATCGTGATGAACGTGATCAATAAAAATTGTGTGAACATGATATTGAATAAAGTTGTACGAACATTATTTTAAAGCTTCATAAAATACAAATTATTTCCTGATGTAAACTTTTACAAGTTTATTTTATGATTCAGTTCAGAATATTATTAAATATTTAACTTTAAATGACACAAAATGTTTTAATGAGAGTAAATAGTATGTAACATGATATCATTTTATACCGAGCGGGAATATGAAACCATCCAATTAATGTAAATGTAATTCCGTGTCTATATTTTCAGCAAAGATTAAGAACGAAAGACAAAACGAAGTTGCGATGGAAAACTGTGAAACAAAAAATCTTTTGTTAGCTTCTTTCACTTAATTATAACAGAAAATACCTTCATTTAAGAGTGGGAGTGAATAATTATTTAGATCAAGCAAGAAAATTCAAAGCAAGAAATGTCAGAAATTCACGAAAGTATTTCACTTCTTTATATTTATTTCGTGTTCAAATTAACGTAAAATTACAAGTTTTTGATTGATTTAAACATGAAAATGATACAAAATAGCAACTAAGTGGGTCAAATACTTCAACTGATGGTAATTCATTCCAAGGAGTGAATTAACGTTTCCTGCTCGTTTCAATTCCCGACAAACCGAAAACTTCTGAAATTCTATAAACGTCATGTCTGTCCATGGTTTCATCAAAAACTTCATTAAGTTTTATTTCAAATGGAAATTCATTTGTTATTTCGTCTAACTAGCGAGGCGTGATTTCATTTTGCTTTTTTTTCCGGAAAATTTTAAAAATGTGCAAATTTGTGCTTTTACCATTCCGTGAATTTTCAGGAAATTTTTTCTCTTCCGCTGCAAACTGCGAGCGTTTCGTTCTGCTTCACTAACAAAACTAATTTTAAATGAAATCCAATTTTCGAACTCAGGAACGAGAGTCGAAAACTTCATACGTGCAAGCTTCATAGATGACCAAACACTTAACCATGTGAAACTTTAAGCTTTCCGAAATGAAAGCAAAAAAACATGTTGGGAAAAAATTTATATAACATAAGCTTTGCTTAAATTTAATTGTAATAATTAAGTTGCAAAATTTTATTATAGCCTTAATTAAATATCTTGGTTTCAGGAAGGACGAAATGTTTAATAAAGTTTTTAACCCAGTTGAATATTTTTAAATCCATGCATAAATTTAATGTTGTGGTTGTTACAAATATTGCTGGTTAAGTGTATTGATTTTTGATATGATAATGTTAAACACTGTTTAACTGTTATTTACCAGAAATGTTCCCAGATATCTGTTTACGTAACCATAGGTTGTTCATGTTATGCAAGATATGATTATACAAAACCGTAACACATTAGACACTTATTTAATTATGCATTGGTTTCAAAATAAATATCGCTGAGAATCGGTGTAAACATGATATCTACACAATTTATTTTAATCATCAACAAGGATATAACAAAAATATATAAAAAGTACAACAAAAACTCTTCTATGTAATTTGAAAACATGCAAACTTTCTCATCACTTTTCCAAAACATGTTTTTCATTACATGCAGAAGGGTTTCATTATGTTGTTCTCATATTGCCTCGAGATAAAAGAAAAATTGTGAAAATGTACATTATGGGTGTTGGAAAACAAATCCTTTTTCCTCACGAATATAAACTTTTTCATTGAAACATTTTCCAGAAAGTTTTTACATCACAATCTTTCCAGGGATGATTTCGTGTCTGTTTACGAAACCAACAACAGAATTTAGCGGTGGAATTAATTTTTTTGACTCGTAGGCTACGAACATCATTTGCATAAAATTAAATGAATTTTTCATGTCATTTTTAAATAAAATAAAAATGAATTGCGCTTCACTCGACGTTTGTGTATTTACTTAGAGAAGCAGAAGTTTTCATCGATACTTAATAAGCAAGTTCATTATAAATTGTTGAAATAATTTTCAACCAGAAGCTCTCTTTAAATGAGAATAATATAAATATTGTTATGTCAGTATTTATAGTGGACATGTTGACAATGATAATCCCTCAGATGATAATCGGGATGATTAATGTTAATCATGAAATATTTCGTTGCTCGTGTTGCCGTAGATGGGTCATCAACTAATCTAATAAAGTTAAACATTGTTTCGTTGACAGTGACTGTTTCTGGACATATTTTAGAAATAGAAAATTTAATGCGACTATAAAAAATGTTTTTACGGGTAGACAAATGCTTTTCTCTTTAGGATTTATCTGGATTTAGAATGCTTGAATCGTCATAGCCATTGCTAAGTTTACAACAATTTCATATAAATAGTTACAACTTTTAAAGCATTATCATTTATGTATATGTTTGGATTATTTTAAATAAATAACATGCAAAACTGTAATGAAATGAAACATAAAATCGACCATCGCACTACCTTTCTTACTTTTTAAATAGTAATGGCAACGAAGCTTTATGTTGTAGATAAATTACCGAACCCGTTCAGAGGTGCTATTTATTCAAAAAATAAAGCTCATTTTTATTCCGCTATAGCAATTCAGATTCGTTTATCTAGCTATAAAAGAATTTCCTCTTTATTTAAGCTTATCCAAATTTATCTAAAGTGAAGATTTTTTATGAGTGCGAAAATGATACTCTTACTGTCAAAAGGATGAACATCTGATCTTGTTACAAGCCATAAATTATCAGACTTTGAGGACATTGGAGACGTGAATGTTCGCTGAAATGTTAGAACATTACTTTAAAAAAGGTTAGATATCATTATGCAAAACGTTTCATAAATTCTCCTGAAAAAACTCATAAACATATATCTGAACTGATCCCATGCAAATACCGTTTGTGCTTCAACGCTTTTATGCTCTTTACAAAATATATTTGTTCATATTTTCCACTCCATTATCTAATGCAAAGAGCTTTAAAATGCTCCAAATATCGTCACTGCAACAGTGCACAAAATATTTTTCTAAACATATAAAAAACAAGCAATTCATCAACAGTAAACTTGTAGTTCTTGTTCCTGAACGCTTAAATGTAAGTACTAAAGATAAGTCTAGTTTTAATACTTCACACTTTAGTTCCTCTGTGCTCTAAAGAAGTGAAAATTTAAATGCCAGCATTTTATTCATGTCAACGTGAGAAGATTTTCATTTATAATGTTAACAAAAAGTGGCAAGAAAGCAACTGGGTTAATACTTATGTGAAATAAGAAATGAATAAAATATGTTCAGGTGTCGTCATTTACATGTTATTTCTCATGAAAATCTGATGAATTGCTGGATAAAGTTTTGCATAGTGATGAGAAACATTCGTGTTAATAAGAAGAAATTCTATTAATTACCTGCTTTACTTAACATAGAAAGCCAAATGTCCATCACGAGTTATAAAAGCTTAGCTAAAGTTAAACCATTTTAATCCATGAAACTTTAACTTCGTATAACCTTCGTTTCAATAGCTCCTTGTCATCGCTTCTTTCAGGTTCCTGAGAAATAGGATAGAAATAATATAACATTTTTCATCAAATCATCAGACTATTCTGTGAAAGCGTAAAGTCATTTATCATCCCAAGAAGGGAAACTTCTTCCCCAATTTGTCACTTAACAGCTTTTTTATTGCTGATAAATAAATCGGAAGCCCAAGTTACACACATCACGAAAACCGACATTGAATGTTTCGTTGCCATTTCGTATTCAAAAGCTTTTCTACTTTTCTTTTTCTAATGTAAATTTAAATTTCCACTTGGGGAATAAATTTTCTTGGCTTTCAGATTTTCCTTCTTCCATCGTTCTCTAAAAAGATTTTTCGCATTTTCCGCACGAGCGTTGAAAAAGAAAATAAATTTTTGATATTTATTCCATTTCCACATCTTCCTCCACACTCTCTTGAAAAATTTATGGCTCTTTACACATCGCTCTTGAACGAGTGACTTTAGATGTTTATGTTTAATTCAGCAGATTAAAGGCACTTAAATGTGAAGTGAGTATTTATACTCAAGAGTCGTTCATATTTCTAAAGGCCCATTTGGCATGAACAAAAATCCCAAAGATAAAGTCCAACAAAGCTTTATTTTGTTTATTGTTTGTTTTCTAATTGGTGGTTAAAAATTCTATCAAAACTTATTAAATTGTTTTATATTTTATCCTAAAAAAAACAAATTTAAACTTTTGTTTAAAATTTAAATAATTTTTATCCAACGATCATCCAGTAGCACGTTTTTCTTAAGTGCTTCCTAAAGATGAACTTTAAAATGCTTTTCTATTTTCAATTTAAATTTTTCAAACAATATTCTAGAGGGATTGGAACAAAAGAATTTAAAATGAAATTCATTGAAAAACTTTCTTTTTCGATATTTAAATTCAAAACTTTATTTTAAAAGCTTTAAAAATTCATAAGATCAAGTCACATCTTATTCGAAGAATTGGATTGAAAGCTCAATGTTATGCAAATTCTCATTTTATTATGTCACAACTTGCTGCTTGAAAGTATCAGTTTTTGGTAAACTATTTAGCATATCTGTTTATACAGGAACGTATTTCAAATATCTACATTGAAACCGGAAGATATTCTGATAAACTGATAAGTCGTGTCAAACATAAACATAACATTAAATGTAATAAAAATATTTCAATTGATTTATCATATGACGCTCCTTATTTTATCAGCATTTTTTGTGATTCATCGTAAACCTGTTTAAAGGTAGCGAATTGTAATCTTATCAACTTTGTGGTACTTATCAGTGGTTTCAATACTTTTACGAGCATTTCGCTGTTAATTCAAAAAATTTAGATGTCGTAAATAATTTTAGTAGTATTTTGTCGTTCAATGAAAAGACTTTGAAAGAGGTGAACATGTTAAAGGTTGTCATAATTTTAGCGTTATCGTCTGCAGTCTTTGCACAAACGCCAGTGAAGTCATGCGGGAAAGGCCAGCTTTTACCAAAAGCTGTTTATTTCGGAGGCAAAGAAAGTTTTTGTACAAAGTCACCATGCGTGCTGAAACGAGGAAAAACAGGAATCACTGAGGTCGAGTTCATTTCACCCATAAACTCACAAAGCATTATGCCAAAAGCAAAGGCGAAAGTTTTTGGAATGTCAATTGATTTGAATTTGGGCGTCAAGGCTGCATCTGCTTGTAAATTCCTGAAAAGCGGATGTCCTTTGGAAAAGGGTAAACCAGCATTATTTAAACTTGTGAAACCTGTGGAAAAGAATGCAATGACAGGAACTGCTGATGTGGAATATACGCTAGTAGGCGACGATAACCAAGTGATATTTTGCTACAAATTAAAAACTGTCGTTGTTTGATAGGAACAAATAAATAAAAGATTTAAATGTGAAACATAAATCCTTGTGAATAAATAAAAGATTTTAATTCTTGCTACGTTCAGCAAACATCAAACTTTACCTTACGCTATGATTTAAAATTTCAAAAGAAGAATTTGAAATCCTCGAGCATGTAAATGTAAGCATGTTTTTTACATATTCACATCACGATGTACATTCTTGCGTGAACGACGTGTAGAGACTTATGATAAATTTATGAGTTTTACCTGTCGGAAAAGTTGTTTTGAAACCATCCGAGACAAGAAAATTTATATTTTTAATTGAGGGCTTAAATTTATAATGAAACTCGTTTCGATTTCAATCTAAGATAACTTTTATTATGACTTTCTTATCAAATTTGTAATCTTTTAAACACAACCGATTGATTTTGCTGAAAAGTCATTGCTTGACCAAGTGAATCCTTCAGGAAATCAATTTTGTGTCAATTGAAACAATATTTAAGGCGATTACTTTTACAGCCATTTTTCTCACCTTATTTCAGTTTTCGATGGTTGAAATTTTTAAATGTTTCTGTTTATTGTTGATTGCTTGAAGTAAACAACAATATGAAAACGTTGTAATGGGAAAGTTTTTGAAACATGAAAGCTCGTGAAGTATTTCATAGAGACACGAATTTTATTTTCGTTTCTATTAAGAGAAATTCTAATTCTCTTGTTAAGTTCTATCATAAAATATTTTAAATAAACCTTTTAAAGAACAAAAAAAATCTGTGCAAATAATCTAAAAAATATTTTCATCAATAATTTCCATTCCTGATCATTGGACATTCCATAAAGTGCAAGGAATTGCAGTTAAACAAGATAAGTTTTATTCAGTTCAGTTATTCAAAAATCGAATATTTATTTACATCCTATCGTGTTCATATATCTGCAGATCAACGAGAATGTTTCTTATAAGAAATTGGCACACTATACACTGAATATCAAACCCAGTCAGTCGTATTATTCGTACAATGAAATCTAAGCTATGCAATATACTTTCCTCATATGTCACGAACATGTTTTCATTCGAATGATTCTATACTCGATTCCATATTTATTTTTATGACTCCAAACTCAGTACAGTAAATTGCATTTATGTTGAAAATTCGTATTACAGTAAATGCAATGATAACCACAGAGCGGGGTGTGGTAGTTAAGATTTACATGAACGGATGAAAGCATATGAATGTTTGAATGAATGAATATGGAACTAACTCGGTTAACCTCTTTTAACTATCGTAAAATGCATATAGTTGATGATATTCAAAAAAGAGAAATGGAAAACATTGCAAATTTGTACGTCACTATGCAGTACTTCGTTCAGAATGACCATTAATAAACAAACGAGCTTAGATTTTTTTAGATTTTGAGATGACTCATGAGACAAATGAGAATTTTAACCACACAATTAGTTATGCTTTTTTAAACAAACAAACTATCTACCTTCAATTTCTCTGTGATTGTTCATCGTGGTGAGTTCAAGCAGCAAATAATTTCTTTTATGGTTTGCGAAATAATTTGTTTTAGAAAATATACAAAAGAAAATTTCTTTTACATAGCATGCAGAATAGTTTATAAATAAAGTTTAGTTTATCATTTGTTGCAGGAATTTTGTGTAAAGTCATTACCTTTCAATTTCCAGGAAAGCATGGAAAATTGTTTTTTTTTGTGTTATGTGAAAAGTGAACAGTTTCTAGAAAAGTAGGTAGATGAAAAAGAAACTTTAGTAAAAAAACACTTAAAAAGTTTCAGAAAGTTTTGCATTATTAAAACATTTACCAAAATCATAATTCACTAAAATATGTGCTTTGATGTTTTAGAAATGAATTTATGCATGAAAGAAATCAAAAATATTCACACAAGAATTTAATAGAAATTCTGAGCGTAACTGGTGATCAAACAGGTCATCATTCTAATTTGAATAATTGATAAGTGAAAAACGAAACGCTTTTAATGTTATTGATAAACGAGTAAAATCTAAAATATTCTTCTTTGATGCCTTTTATTCTCTTCTTTATTACTCATGAAGTTTCATAAATAACGTGCTCTTTATACAAATGTTATCACTTTTATGCTCACATTCTGTGTTGTTATGACTACTTTTTGTTCCAAACTTTACTTAATTTATGCGCATCAAAGTTCAGAAGCAAATATCTGCCCAAATATGTGTATTACAAAGAAGTTTTTATTTATTTTTGAGCTTTCTGTTGGAGGATATGTCATTGGGTTGTTTACAATACTTGCTTCGATAGCCACAACTGCAAGAATCGTGCTATTAATTAACGAAGACATAGCAAATGGTAAGAAAAATTCAAGAAAAGTTTGTTTTACTTCTGTTGTCTGTTTTAGGAAATCTTAAAGCACTTGGAGTTGAAATCGTAGGAATTTCCATTGCATCCATATTTTTTGTTATGTCATGTCGGCTAACGTATGGAGTGAAAACCGTAAGTGCATAAACGAATAATAAATTGAGAAATTAACAACTTCTTTCATCTTTTTAGCACAATTACGACAAAGTTGAATCATTTCGCATTTTAACCATTTTTTCTGTAGCATTTATCTTAGCGAAAATTCTGTTAACAGGAAGCAAAACTATGGCTAGTGATTCTGATATTGAAACAGAATTTGTTATTGATATATTGTTGACTTTCGCAGTGCTACTAGTCGAGCTTTATGTATTCATAATAATTTATTCTTTATCGGAAAAATTTCGAAACAATTCGTTAAAACGAAAGCATATTTTGCTCATGGATTTGAAATCAGAAGCATAAATGCTTAGAAAATGTCTTCAGTCATATAATTAGAGCAAATTATGAACAACATTTACATAAGATTTTAGGAACCATTTTTTTCAATTACCTTAGTGAATTGTTCTTAATTTCATTAAACATTACAAAACTAAATTAATCAAATTCTTTTGATTGCTGCAAAGCTTATTTAATGTCATTCAAATAATAATACAAAAAAATTATTTTTTCATTCATCAACTAGATGTGAATAAATAATGAGAATTGCTTGGAGAATTGGTTAAAAATTCGAATTTTAAATAAATTTCATAACTCCACTAACTCCATCTTTATGATATTATGAATGACGCGTGATCTTACATGTCCGCCTGTCTCTTATCCAGGTACATCAGACTCAGTCTGGACACAAACCATGCGAATTCGCGTACTATAAACGAAAAAAAATAAATTGCAAATAACCGCAAGAAGATAAAATATTTTTTTAATAAAGTATTTTAATAAGTTTTCACAATAAATTACTCAAAATATAATAACACCCTTCAAGCAGGGATAAAGGTATAACTTAAAGAAATACGTAGTTACTCAATTTTTATTTTAAAAATTTAGGAAAAATTATAAAAGGCTTGAATTTTATTTTGTTTCACGTAGATAATGCGAGTTTTGTTTGTTTACGTTTTGAGTATTATCAAATTAATTTTTTTGTTAATAGCGGCGACAGTAAAACCAGATTAATGTCGCTGATATTTAAATAGTTCTCATCAGAGAAGCATCATGAATAAACTGGCAAGTATTTGAGCGTTATGTAAACTAAACTAACCAGTTCGATGAAACGAAAATGCTGCAGCAAATAAATAACAAGAAAATCAAGTTTACTTTTATTAAGTTCCATAGAGGTTCTGTTTCTGAGTAGATTTTTGTAATCTTTTAATTTAGTTTGATTCTCAACATAACGTTTTAAAGAAGTTTTAAAAAATGAGTAATGAAGAACTTTTGGATAATTCACAGCCGATTTTATACTCTTATTGGCGCTCTAGCTGCTCATGGAGGGTGAGAATATGTTTAAATCTCAAAGAGATCCCTTACGATATCAAGCCAATAAGCCTGATTAAATCTGGTGGCGAACAACATTGCAATGAGTACAGGGAAGTGAATCCAATGGAACAAGTTCCAGCATTACAAATTGACGGCCACACACTGATCGAATCAATGTCAATAATGCAGTACTTAGAAGAGACTCGACCGCAACGAGCTTTACTTCCTCAAGATTTCCATAAACGCGCAAAAGTCAGAGAATTATGTGAAGTCATTTCATCAGGAATTCAACCATTGCAGAATCTTATCGTTCTTATTCATGTTGGAGAAGAAAAGAAGAAAGAATGGGCTCAACATTGGATAACCAGAGGTTTCCGAGCCATTGAAAAGCTTCTTTCAACAAGTGCTGGAAAATATTGTGTTGGTGATGACATCACGTTAGCTGATTGTTGTCTTGTACCACAAGTGTTCAACGCGAGACGGTGAATTTAGTTGAACTTATCAATCAAAAATAAATTTTAATGTTTCTTTATTTTCTTCTAAAGATTTCATGTAGATCTTAGACCTTATCCAATTATCTTACGGATAGATCGAGAGCTCGAAGGTCATCCAGCATTCCGAGCAGCTCATCCTGCAAATCAACCAGATTCACCGCCTGAAATGACCAAATAATCCAACAATTGACAGAGATCTTGATCAACTTGGCCAACAATCATTCTTTTAAACATTGTTGCAATACATTTTTCGTTGCAGCATCCTTTGAACTATATCAACAATTAATAAACTTTCGGATTCATCGATTAAGAGTAAATTTTTATCTCAAAAATAATTCCGTACAAAGATTTCTGTAAATGTTCACAAGTTTGAAGAAAACAATAAAAAAATATTTAATAAAAACATTCAAAAGTGGTATAAATGAAGTGATTTGATTTTATTTAATTATTTTTCAATCGGTTGTTACTTATTTCTTTAACAAGCTTGAACTGCAGTCGTAAGCCGAGCAGCCTCTACGATGTAGGCAACAACAGCACCTGACAAGCAAATTCTCATCTCATCAACCAAGAAGAGGCCATCAGTTTGGAATCGGTTTGTTTCCCATCGAAGTAATTGAGACACAGCAGTGATCCATTGACGTTCATAAATACGATAACCTGCTTCTAAGAATTCAACAATTGCTTCTTCATCTTGTAAAACGTTTCCTCTTGAAAGAGCGTCGACAACAGCAACAGGGACAGTTGACATAGTTTCTTGAATGCCAATAAATGTTGGATAGAACACGTTGGTCAACAAAGTTTCAAGTGTGGAGTTGGCGTAAAGAGCACAAGATTGGATATTTGCACCAGAACGAGCTGAATTTTGAGTCATTTCTTCCATGACACCTTGAAGACAAGCGTTGTCTGCTCCAAGTTGAGCTTGACGTTCAGCAATCACATCATTCAAATCATAAGCAGTTTGACGAATTGCTTCAATGTCATCACCGAAAACTTCCATCATATCATTGTAGACTCTTGTCACTAAATCAACATGTGCAAAACGATAATCTCTCATAGCTGCATTAGCTCTGTCGTAGAAGTTTTGATATCTGACAAACCAATAATCGACATCTGTTCGGAACCGCTCAACAACATCTAGAGGATCATTTTTTGGAATATGTTCGGGAGCGTCTGGATTCTCGAAAACTGGAGTTGCAAAAGTCTGAAAAAATTTCATTCATGTTAAGTAATGAGATTTTGAAACGAATCGTTGAAAACATCCGTGTGTACAATTGAATAAAAAATATTAATAAAATAATTTTCTCAGCTTTCCTGGGTAGTATCTTATCAACTTCTTAAAGATTGATAACAACTTTATCTCAACCACCAAAATCCGTCGTCGTTTTATTTATAACACCTTGTAAAAGTCTTATCAAAATTGAATGAGAGAAACCTTGAATAACGTTAATTAAGTAACGTAGCAACATCCTGTTTTGAAAGGAAGTCAAAATCTTATTTAAAGAAACTTTTAGAAGCTTAAATGTCTTCCTTTTGATAATTATTAAACATTTTGCAGAAATTTGAGGATTATTAGAAGCTTTTCGATCAATCAAATAACATCCTGTGCAGATTATCAAATTTTTTTCTCATTTAAGTCACTGATAAGAAACAACTTCCGTTACAAAAGAACTTTGAGCTTACTCGGTTTACTTTAATAAAATCAGTCATCAGATAAGTTTTTATCAAAGTTTTTTTAATAAATAGGTAGTTTGTTGACTTTGGAAAACTATCACAAGAAGCTTGCAAAAATATTTTAGTGAAAGTTTCAATGAGAAAAACTTGATGACGTTGTTAAATTTACTTTTTTTTTGAAAATTTTCTTTTAGTCATTTCCCTATGCACGCAAATTCTTCACTCTTAAACTTGATTTTCTTACCTGAAGAACAAAAAGTGACAAAAGTAATCCCACAAAAACCTTCATGTTGCGCTTAGAAATTTCTCAAACGAATTCTTTTTCTAAATGATGCAATAAGAAAACTGAAAGCTAAAATTTAACAAGCATTCACTTTTATACCTTGAGCTTTGGTCGGTTTTATCGAAATATCAGTAGAAACTTCACAAACACTTGCAAAATTTTTGATTAAAATTATCGTCGGGTCAATTGTTATTGCAAAAAAGCAAATAAGAAGAGAATTTCGTAAAAGGAAATGAAGCTTAAAGCTGATAAGTTTAAAGATACTTTGAGAAATATGTTGAGAGTTTAGAGCGATAAGAAAAACTATTTCCTGAATTTCAATAATCAATTCCTGTTGTTTTATTATGATAGCCATAAAGCTTAGTTATGCAGACATTCTAGCATGCTTGAACTGCAGTCGTAAGCCGAGCAGCCTCTACGATGTAGGAAACAACAGCACCTGACAAACAAATTCTCATCTCATCAACCAAGAAGAGGCCATCAGTTTGGAATCGGTTTGTTTCCCATCGGAGTAATTGAGACACAGCAGTGATCCATTGACGTTCATAAATCCGATAACCACCTTCCAAAAACTCGAGAATTGCTTCTTCGTCTTGTAAAACGTTTCCTCTTGAAAGAGCGTCGACAACAGCAATATTGACGGTTGAAATGGTTCCTTGAATGCCAATAAATGTTGGATAGAACACGTTGTTCAACATATTTTCAAGTGTGCTGTTGGCGTAAAGAGCGCAAGATTGAATGTTTGAACCAGAACGAGCTGAGAGTTCGCTCATTTCTTCCATGACACCTTGAAGACAAGCGTTGTCTGCTCCAAGTTGAGCTTGACGTTCAGCAATCACATCATTCAAATCATAAGCAGTTTGACGAATTGCTTCAATGTCATCACCGAAAACTTCCATCATATCATTGTAGACTCTTGTCACTAAATCAACATGTGCAAAACGATAATCTCTCATAGCTGCATTAGCTCTGTCGTAGAAGTTTTGATATCTGACAAACCAATAATCGAGATCTGTTCGGAATTGTTCGACAACATCGTTTTTCGGTACATGTTCGGATACTCTTACAATCTCGACTGCAGGGAGTGCAAATGCCTTGAAGGAAATTTTCAATAAATTTCTTATTAGCTTCACAAAACTTTTAAAGATTTTAAATCGAAGTTATTTCAACATATGAAAATTTATTTAATTTTTTNAAAAAATATTTAATAAAAACATTCAAAAGTGGTATAAATGAAGTGATTTGATTTTATTTAATTATTTTTCAATCGGTTGTTACTTATTTCTTTAACAAGCTTGAACTGCAGTCGTAAGCCGAGCAGCCTCTACGATGTAGGCAACAACAGCACCTGACAAGCAAATTCTCATCTCATCAACCAAGAAGAGGCCATCAGTTTGGAATCGGTTTGTTTCCCATCGAAGTAATTGAGACACAGCAGTGATCCATTGACGTTCATAAATACGATAACCTGCTTCTAAGAATTCAACAATTGCTTCTTCATCTTGTAAAACGTTTCCTCTTGAAAGAGCGTCGACAACAGCAACAGGGACAGTTGACATAGTTTCTTGAATGCCAATAAATGTTGGATAGAACACGTTGGTCAACAAAGTTTCAAGTGTGGAGTTGGCGTAAAGAGCACAAGATTGGATATTTGCACCAGAACGAGCTGAATTTTGAGTCATTTCTTCCATGACACCTTGAAGACAAGCGTTGTCTGCTCCAAGTTGATCTTGTCGTTCAGCAATCACATCATTCAAATCATAAGCAGTTTGACGAATAGCTTCGATGTCATCACCAAAAACTTCCATCATATCATTGTAGACTCTTGTCACTAAATCAACATGTGCAAAACGATAATCTCTCATAGCTGCATTAGCTCTGTCGTAGAAGTTTTGATATCTGACAAACCAATAATCGAGATCTGTTCGGAATTGTTCGACAACATCGTTTTTCGGTACATGTTCGGATACTCTTACAATCTCGACTGCAGGGAGTGCAAATGCCTTGAAGGAAATTTTCAATAAATTTCTTATTAGCTTCACAAAACTTTTAAAGATTTTAAATCGAAGTTATTTCAACATATGAAAATTTATTTAATTTTTTTAATTGAAATTTGATGCACTTTGTGCACTTTTTTATCATAAATTAACATCACAACATTATTTTATATATTTATGTTCACCTGCATAAAAATAACTGACAAGATAACAATCACAAGTTTCATCTTTTTTTTCTCGATTTTACGGTTAAGTTTCACAATTGAAAATTAATTCAAAACTGCTATGGGTCTTGTGAAGTTTTGCTATTTTTATAGAGGAACCTAAAAAAACTATCGCGGTAGTTGTTCTCTATCAGCAACATTTGTAATATCAAAGCATAAGATTAAGCTTATCAATGTCTTACACAATTACGTAGATTGAAAACAAATATTTTTTGTTTAAAGGAAATGAAGTCAATCAAGTTCTTATCGATAAGCTTCAGATAAATTCGCGACAATTCTTTGATAACTTTCAAGTTCTCTTGTCTTATCAAGCTTTATTGGCTTTTATTTTGAGTGTAACTTCTGATAACAATGAACCTCTGATCTGACAAAAATGAACATTTAGACGATCGGAAGGTTTTTCATTCATTCACAACCCAATCAAAATTAAATTTTTACAAGAAGAATTAAAACAAATGCCAAATAAATTCCAAATTTCATGATCAAATTTTATTCTCTTTTAAATATTTTTAAAGTTTTTAACAGTTTTGAACTTCGCCTTCGAGGCGTGACATTGTGAGAAGATATTGTTCAGTGCCTTGTGCCATGCAAATATCAATCTCATCAACCTTAAATAGTCCCTCAGTCTCGAAACGATTTGAATCCCATCTTAACAATTGCGACACTAATGAAAGCCATTGCATTTCGTAAACTGCGTAACGATCTTCCAAGTATTGAAGAATTGCTTGTTCATCTTCCAAAACGTTTCCGCGTGACAATACATCAATGACTGATATTGGCACTTGCGATGTTTGAACTTGAACTTCAGCAAATGTTGGGTAGAAAACTTCAGCCAACAAGGTAGATAATGTGGTGTTGGCGGTGAGTGCACACCCTTGAATATTTCTTCCAACTAATGCAGCATTTTGATCGCGTTCGTCCATAATATTTTGTAAGCATTGATTCATTCCCACTTCTTGTATTCTGGCATCAAGGAGATCATCTAAATCGTAAGCCAACATACGGACGGTATCAATGCTATTTCCCAATACTGTCATCATCTGGTTATAGATCGATTCAACTAATTCAACATGGAGAAGACGGTACGTTTTCAAGGCAGCGTTGGTTCTGTCATAAAAGGTTTGATATTGAGCAAACCAGCGGTTAATTTCATCGCGAAAAGCATCAACAACATCATTTTTTGGCTTAACTTCTGATGTTTGAGCCTCTTCAACAGCTGGCATTGCCAATGCCTAAGTAATTAATCAAATTTTAGTTCAAAACACTTTTTTTTTATGTTTTCCCCTCTCACCTGAAGCACAAAAGCTGTGAAAATTAATCCAATTAATAATTTCATTTTCAATCAGTTTGTTCCGTTGGTGGTTAAGTTCGAGAATAAACGAACACTAAAAGATAAAATGTTTTAAACCGTCAATTTTATATTGTGACTTTTGAACGCGATCAGATAAATTTATCAGTAAATTTATTTATCATGAGACTTATGATAAGCCAAATTAAGATGTTGAAATGAGAATGTGGGCGAAAAGGAAGTCGTATTGTTATCGCCAAGTATTTATTACTGAACAAAATGAATCAACCGAAAGCCTTCGAGTTATAACAATTGCTGGAACAAATTCCAAATATTTAATAATTTTTGAGATGGTGTTAGGAAAATCTTGATTTGCAATTCACATTTGATCAATGCTCCTCTTAAGGGATACATTTAATGAAAATTTGATTACAATGAAAGCAAATTTCATATATTTTTATTGAACCCGAGCCCTTTGATACACTTTTTCCAAAATAATGGAAATATTTTCCTTCTTTTAACGTGGCTTTCATAGTAAGATATCGCCAACTCGTAAGCTTCTGAAGAACCAATTGTGTTGACATTTTAACATTTAAGCTTTGTTTTCTAAATTTGTTTGGTTTGTTTTGTGTTTTCTGAATCAGTGTTCATTATTGAACCTTTAATAAGTAAACTAAGTAAAACAGATAGAAAAGCTTAAAGCTTTCAGTTCATCTATGTTGCATGTGCAAGCGGGAATGGCTCACAATTCATAATGTTCAAATATTTTTATGCGTTGAAATGGAAAATATCTTTTAAAAGTGGCAAATGTTTAATTATTCACTTCAGACCGATCTAATAGAATATTAAATGATTTCAGTGATAACAAATATGCAGATTGTTTATTACATGAATGAAATATTTCAATGATTATCTTATCAATGAAGCATTAGATGCTGAGGTATAAACCCTTTAGTCCAAAGGAAGTCTTAATTTTATCGAAAAATGTAATATAAGTTGATAAAATCATTGATAAGATAAAGAACAGCAACAGGAAGTATGTGAAGGAAAAGATTCAAGAACCATAAATAATTTATAAATTAATTAATTATCGGCAGAAAATTTGAACTTAATTTTTGAAATTTTCTAAAAAATTTCATTTAAATTTATTTCATATTTCTGAAACGGTTTCTTAACATTCTTGAATAATTTTTTCAAGGCGAGAGTTTTCCACAATATATGGCATGAAATCTTCAGTCAAGCAGACTCTTGTGTCATCAACTAAGAATAAGCCATCGTTTTCGAATCGATTGGTGTCCCATCGAAGTAATTGTGACACTTGTGCAAGCCATTGCAATTGGATGACGTCATAACGATCTACCAGATATTGGACAATAGCTTCTTCATCTTGAAGAACATTTCCAAGTGACAACACTTCTACCACAGAAAGTGGGACGGTTGATAAGACGGTTTGGATTTCAGTAAAGATAGGATAGAAGACATCTGTCAACATCGTAGCAAGTGTTTGATTAGCGAAGATCGCGCACTGTTGGATATTTTCTGAAGTAAACTTTAATACAGATTCACGATGATTGATGACGTTTTGAATGCAAGGAGTGGTGTCGCCACGCATTTCAATCTTCTTTTGTATCAAACCTTCCATCTCAGTTTCACTTGCATTGAGAGCTTCAATTGTCTCACCGAAAACTGCCATAATTCTGTTGTAGATGTCTGTGATAAGTGCAACATGTGCCATTCGATAATCTCTCATTGCTGCATTAGCACGATCATAAAAGTTCGTATAACGAACAAATTGAACATCAATTTGTGCTCGGAATGCATCAACAACTTCATTCACTGGTCTAACTTCAGATTCATTTTGCTCGTCAAATGTTGGTTTTGCCAACGCCTAAGTTGAAATATTTCTTCATTAGAATTATTCCTAATTGATTACATATTCGAACTTACTTGAAGCATAAGAACCGATAAAATGATTGAAGTTAAAAGTTTCATTTTATTTAAGAATTATTTTGTGATCACCTTCCGTAAAACACTGAGAAGATATCAGACATTAGCTGTTACATTTATATAATCGCAAAAATTATGTTTATCAAGGAATTAAAATTGAAGTTATTTATGTGGTTGTGAGATAAGGCAAAGTCAAGCCATTGCTTCTCACACATTGAAAATGATATCGTTTGTCAGAAAGGAAATTGTGTCCTTATCGATAAGCACCAGCAATTTGAAGCTTTAATGTTGATAAGATTAAAGAACTTTAAATCGTTTTACTGAAGATTGTGGTTGAATAAGTGAAATAACAATGATTAAATAAGTTTTTTATCTGACAGGATATTATTGTGACTGTTAAGGAAGTTAATACTTCAAAAATCTAATTAGTTAAGATGATTTTTAATTTTATTTAAAAGAAATTTAAATGTCACAATAAATGTTTTATGCTGATTGTGTTGCTTCGCATTGTGAGAGATCTTCCCTGATAAAATTTGCAGTGAATGTGAAATAGTCGCGATGTGAATTCAATTGCGGGAAATACCAAGATTTGATTTCATTAAAGTTTTCATCAATTCTTTGCACTTCTCTTTCGATATTTCTTATTGAAATTTCGTAAAGTGTCCAAGTGACGAAATAATCATCTTCGAGGCGACTAATGAGTCTCTCAATTTCTGTTACAGAATTGTATCGATGCATGGAACTCAGTATCGTCCATTGAATGATACTTGACTCAATCTGAAGAACATTAATCAATGGATAGAAGTAACTTTGTTCAATTTGATTGATGTAAAACATTGCTTCTCCCACAGCAGCCATTAAATTAGTGCCAGCATATTGAGCTGAATTTTCCACACTTTCCAATGAACCGACAATACATTCAGCTTCAAAATCATCAATTTCAGCCGCTCGCAAATTTATCTCGTTAATAGTTTCGTTTCTCTTATCATTGATTTCGTCACTCACAAATCCCATTCGTGAAATCAGTTGTGAGTTTGCAATTTTTAAATTTATCGCTTGACTTTCAATCGCTCGATTGATGCGATACTCAAAATTTGCATGTAAAATATTGAAACTTGATTGCAATTCTAATAATCGATCCACTTGAACAAGATCAAGAGCTGAGGACTGGAATAATAAATAAATTTTAATTACAGGTTGATACATTTAAAAGAAAATTATTCACCGAAATTACGCCAAAAGTAATTAAAATAAAGAAACCTTTGAATTCTATCATGTTCGCACTGATTGAGTACAATTAAACAACTCAATGACTTTTTCGAAAACTTTACTTAAAAGTGAAGTGCGAGTTAAGATATCAGTTTGAATCATCAGCAAAAGTATTTAATCAAATTTTAAACCGAACACGATAAGATTAAAAATTCTTCACGTTATTAACCACTTGACAATTCAAAGTTGAGATTAAAATGAAGGAAGCAGATGCTTAATTTTATTTTATTTAATGTTTCATTTCCTGTTTCAATTACAACTCTCAAGACTTGCTAGAATTTCATCAGTTCCTTGTTGAAAGAAATTCACTTCAATCTCAAGAATTGGAAATATTTGTGCCTTTACATAATTCATTTGTCGATCCTTTACGACGTTTCCCTCTTCAATTTCCCCAGCCATTGCTGGATATCCATATTGTACTGCTTCTAAAAGAGATTCCAAGAATCCCACAGTTTCATTCAAACGCGTAACCGGTGCACCGCCTGACAGAACAAGCAAAGTCTCTACTAAAAATTCTTGTGAAGTTCTTTCGTAAGTTTTAATTAAAGGATGAACAAATTCAACTGGAATTCTCATGAAATCTTTTCTAGCAATAGCTGAGAGTTCCATGAAGTCACTTCCCATTAATTCAGCAAGATCATTTAACTGTGTCTGGGCTTCAATAATGCATTCTGCTTGTGGATCTTCAAGCGTCGAGCTATGCTCAGCTATTCTCTCACGTACCGCTTGTTCAATTTCTTGAATTTGTGTTGTAACGAAAGCAATTCGGGTGAAGAGTTGAGCTTGAAGCATTCGCTCGAATGCCGTTTGTCGATGACGAGCATCTTCTAAATATTCATTGTAAGTGACTTACCAATCTTTAAACTCTTGATCGAGTTCTTGAAGTCTTTCAATGGTTGATGCCTAAAAAAGTTTATCTTAAACATTTTTTGTTAACCACCAATTTTGTTTCTTTCTAACCCCACTCAAGGAAATAAAAATTGCGTAAATTATTGGTAATGTGATTAGAGACATCATGAAGCAAGAGTTTCTTTGAATGCCACTCATTCGACTGCCTGATTACTTCTTAAATTCTACATATCAAAGTTCATATTATCGTTTTGTCGTTCAATTCAAAGATTAGATTAAAAGTAATCGAAGTGAAGTAATTACAACAGGATATTGAATTATGATCATTGCAGAACAATTCTTTTATTTACTTTGAATATTTTTTTTGCATTGTTTTTCTGATTTAATTACAGTCAGTGACTAAAAATTGTCGAATCTCTTCTGTAGCATTGACAAACATGATTCTTGTTTCTTCGAGAGAATCGATAAGCACAACATTCAAATCATCAAAGTAACGATTAACATTCGTCATCTCTGCAATTATGGAATCGACGAAATCTTCAAACAATTGTTCTGGCATTTCAATGTGACTCGTCAAAAGCTCGATTAAACTGTCAAACTCTGTTACGCTGTTGAATAATGAGTGCATCATTAGCGGTTCAAATGCTAGCTTTGCTTTTGACATCGATAATTCTTGGAGTGTTGGATAAACGTTTATAAATCGCAGGAAAGTGACACGTTGAATAATTTCGTCGTAAGCACTTCTTGAATTCGTTCCTGCAGCTATGCTGGCTTCTTGAAGTTGTGAACTTGCAATGACTTGGCATTCATAGTTTTCAACTAAACCTGCTCTATCTCTGATCTCATTCAGAACTTGATATTCTAAATTCTTCAACTCTTCAAAGAAGAAACCTGATCGTGAAAGTAGCTGAGAGTTAAAATTCCTTTCCATGTTTGCAATTTCAATCTTTGCTGATTCCACAAATGCGTTATATTGAGAATTGACATCGTTAATTCTTAGAGTGAGTCTTGGAATCTCTTCCAGATCAATATTTTGAAGAGAAAATGCCTGCAAGAATTCTGGTCGTTTTATTTCATAATAAAATTTCAATTTTATTTCAACAAACTTTATTGAATATAACGCAAAAGATTGCAAACTTCACAATGCCTGACATCCTTTATTAAAATTTACCATTCAACTGAAATAATTTCTTAGCGTTTTTTGAAGAAAATTTCCACCTCCTATGAGCGATAATGATTAGATAAGCTCAAGTACAATTAAGATTTGAATAGTTGAAGCTCTCAAAATGTAAGAAAAAATTGTTATGCATTACAGTTTGCAACGTTGTCTCTGATAAGATTCGTTGACAATGTGAACTCATCAACAATTTCTTGTAAATTCGTAAAAATTCTTCCATTCTTTTCATTTGTAAAATCTCTGAACATCCCAAACTCGAAAATGATTTCATTGACAAAAATTTCAAAGAAAGCTGGATAAATTAATGTCTGAAGATAAAGTGTTGTGACGATGTTATAAATCTCAGTGACAGCGTTGTACTCGTAAGTGAACATATCAAGAGAAGCGAAATCAATGAATGATGCAATTATATCTAATTCTTGAAGAACAGGGTTGACTAGATCATCGTTCAAAAAGTTCAATTCCTGGAACCATTCTAAAGAAGCAAGCATGACAAAGTTTCCACTCGCTTCTGCTTGAGAACTTAAATTTCTTTGGGAGTCAAGAATACATTCTGATTCGAGATTATTGATTTCAATGGCACGATCTTCAATTACTTGCTCAACCTCATTTTGAATGTTTCTCATTTCATCAACCACGAAGCCTATCCTCGAAAGTATTCTCGATTGATGGATCTTGATCATCAAATCATATTCCGTCCTAGAACTTTCTATAAATGCACGATACTGAATATTAGCATTTAGGAATCTTTCATTAATGATTGGAAAGAATTCAAGTAGACTTTCTGATAGTTCTTCCTGAAAATATAAAACAATCTTTTATAAACATTTTAAAACTTTCATAAAAGCTTTCGTCATAGCTTTAAAAGCTCAACATTTTCTTAAATGTTAAACTCAAGAAATACTTTCAAAGAATATTCATGATCACCTCTTGTTGTGCAGAAGCAGCAACAACTAAAAACGCTAAAATTAAAATATTTAATAGACTCGACTTCATGTTAGCTACGAACCAGGCATACTAACAGAACATAAGTTCATATTTAAGTATTTTTCATTGTCAAAGGCCTAATCAGTTTCAATGATAAGATTAGCTTCTTAATTCTTAAAATTGCTGCGAATTATCAAAAGATATTGTTGTTGATCATTAACTTGTTTTATTCAATGACATTTTTCAATTGTTCTTAATTACAATTTGCAAGAGAATCTCTTATGTCATTTCCCACTGCTTGGAATACTTCCAAATCATCGTCCAGTTGTGAAAAAATCTCTCCAAGAAGATTGTTAAATCTTGAAGAGTAAATTAACATTTCCACGTAAATATCAGTGACAAAATATTCAAATAAAATGCCATAAAATCTGACTTCACTTTCTAAGATGAGAATGACATTAATCATGTTTGTGACCGTGTTATAATTCGCAAGAACAACATAAATCTCAATCTCGAATAGCGATACCAGAATGTCGATGTCAGTGACGGTAGGATGAACATAAAGTTCTTGTAAATCTTTTATATCAGCAACAGCTCTTGTACTAACGTTCATAACACTTGCACCAGCACTTATTACAGCATCTCTTAGCTGATTTTCAGCTTCCATAATACATTCGGCGTTGCTATTATTGATCTCAGTTGCTCGTTCTTGAATCGCATCAGATATTTCCGCTTCAAAATCTTTCATATCTTGTACAACAAAACCAATTTTTGATAAAACACGAGCATTGTAATTTGAATTCATAGTTGTCATTTCCCTTCGACTACTTTCAGTCAAAGCCGTGTTCTGCATTCCAAATAATTTTATGCTGTAACTGAAGAAATCGAGGATGTCAAACAAAACATCATTTAAAGCGTGAACCTTAAAGCAGATAAAATTATGAGATTGATTAATTTAATTATATCATAAACAGATACCTTATGGCTTCCTGAAACCAATAATAAGAGTACCACAAAAGTTGTTTTGATTTGCATCTTTATTCTTTAAGCTTCACTGGTCAAATAAGCTGTGAAGTTGAAAAGAATATTTAGAGACACTTCAATCAACAAATGATAAGATAAAGCTTTTATTTTAATTTTAGTTTTTATTAGGTAAATAATCTTTCAATAGACGGAAACTCAGTTATCAACTCTTTAGTTGTTCGATAAAGCTTTCAATTACATTCAGCCAAGGAATTTCGAATCAAGTCTGAAGCTTCACGGAATTCTGCAAGTCCTTCATTCAGTTCAACGAATAAAATTTTGTTTATTTCTGTTGTATACAAGTCGTAGATGATCATGTCGATGTAAATATAGAAAACGAAATATTCAAAAATGTCGAAAAATGTTTGAATTTCGGTTTGGTAAAATAACAGCAAGTAATACATTTGCGTCACGCTGTTAACATTTGCAAAATAGTTCAGAAGGTTTATCTCAAACAAAGAAATTATTACTTCCAGTTCATTAATAGTGGGATAAATAATTAATTCAAATAGTTGATCGTTTTGAGATCTCCATTGATTTGCCACATGAGTCACCATGTCACCGCCAACTAATGAAGCATCTTGCAAACTTTCTTCAACCTCTGAAATGCATGTGGATTCGTTTCTTCCTGATTCAATTTCTCTTTGACGAATTTCATTGACGATTTCATTTCTTATATCCTTCATTTCTTGAGTGACAAATCCTATTCTGGAAATACTTCGAGAGTGCTGATTTCTTATCATGAAATCGATTTCATTATTTGCACTGTCGAGAAGTGTGCGATAATCAGTCAATACGATTTCTTGAGCATCCAAGAGTATCGGAATGAAAGAAAGGAGTTCGTCGTCTAAGGTGTTGACCTTATTTTGAAAAATTTTATTAAATCATAAAGTAAGTTGGGTCGAAATATTTTACCTGGTGGAATTGAAATCCAATGAAAATAATTAACACAATCGTTAAGCTCTTCATCATGTAAAGTCAATTGAATAACTGACGAATGGAAGTGGCAAAAAGTGGATTTTTTAATCAACTTCATTTCTCAGATAAGGATAATCGAATAGGCAGAAACTTCAACAACGTCGTTTATTATCTTGAGCAAAATTTATGCTTATATGTATATTATTTTTAACTTTTCAAGATAGATATCCAATGAAGAGAAAAATTTTATCAAAAAATCTCAAACTGTGGTTTTATTTGAATTATGAAAATGTTTGAAATATTATGAAATGCAAGAAGATTGACATAGTTTTTTGAAAAAACGTTCAACTAAAAGGACGAGATTTTGTAGTTTAATTAATTGTATTTAATCGTTTTTTCTCATTCAAAAATTGGCTCAGTTTGGGTTTTTCCCCACACTTTAGACAGATGGATTCAAATAAACATTACGTCGACATTCTTCGATGTCTGCATGGACGTCTAAAACGTAATTGATGAGTTTAAAACACTATTTGAACATTCAGACAGATCGTTCATCAAAAAATTAATTATTAATTTTCATAGAACAGGCGTTTGTCATCAATACAGACAATTATTGATGACTCCTTGTTGAAGGTTCACGTGCATTAAAATGTTCTAGAAGTTTTATACACTTCTAGAACATTTTAATGTACGTCATGCTTGAAAAAATGACTGTTACGAAAAAGATATAAAACGAACTGATTTTTCTTGGAAAAATTTATTAAATATCTTTAACTCTAAATTGTTCTTCTCAGAATAAGAAGCAGAACATAAATTTTTTAAAGCGAATATTCAACATTCCTGAATGAGGCTTGGGTCCGCACAAATGTCATCTCCAGTATGGTAACAGATAATGCAAAAGAATTTTTACGTATTAAACAGACTTAAGAACCAAAACTCACGATTAAAAAAGTCACTTTTACTAATAATTGAACAACTTGTTTTTAACGAAAGACAGACATGTCGTCGTCAGACGATCCAAGAGAATTTTTGTTATTTAACATTATTTTATTACTTATCTAATACTTTTTAATGAAAAGGAACTTTCAATTGATGCATTTGAGGAAATCTTTTATTTTCGTATCCATGTTTTGAAATACAAAAAATGATATTCATTGGAAGGATCGTACAAACAACACGTAGTATGTTTTTGTGATCTCATTTCAAAGTTTCCAGATAACACTTGTGTAGACACCTTCATACACTATACATATTCATCAAACGAGATCGGAGCTATCATTTTAGTTCGACTTGCTTAAAGTAATTGTTCAAAACTGCTTACAACTTTTATCATGAAAATTTGGATTGTTCTCGTCTTATTCATTGCCAGCACTGCAAATGCTGGAGTTCTTCAAGACCTCTTCCAAAGGTTGGATCTTGACACATTGACGTTGCAGGAGCTTCAATATGGGCTTACCCAGGCAAGAAGCATTATTGCCGAAAATGGAGCTGAACGTGAGTTTCTGATAACATTTCAATATTTAAAAGAAAAATGTAAAACAAAATTTTTTCTTAATTTTAATTCCTTCAACACACAGTTTTGGACGAAATTGATGGCATCCGTAGTGACCTTGCAGCTCTTTTGGCAGCAACTGATTCAGGTTTAGAGCAAGTTGGAGTAACTGCAGCTGGAAATGGAAACGTCAATCAAGCTTTAAGAGAAGTTCGTAGAATTGCTAGAGCCTTGAACCAAGGTGTGAAAGCTTGTAAGTGTTAAAAATGTTTTTAAACCTCTTCAGTCAGTTCTTAAACAATACTTTTAATTTATTTCCCATATTAGTGTTCCAACGTGCAAAGGGATTGAGACGATTCCGTCAAGAGGTAATTGACGACATTGTCGCACTTGCTGAACAAAGACAAGATTAATTTCATCGCATGATTGACATAGTTTGTACCACTCTCAAACTAACTAAAAAGGAGACAATTTGTATCTTTATTGTAATCAATAAAATTCAAAAAATAAAAATGAACATTCAATCTTCTAAGCAAATTGAATTTACAACACTATTAAATGATTATCCTTAATTTTATTTGAAATTAACAACAAAATATCAGACAAATCACCTTCTTGAATCTGTTAAATAGTTGAAGTTTTATGACGAATTTTCTTACATGCATTCATTTTCACAATTTTCCATTGTTTAATCTCGAATTCAATTGTCCTTGATATTTTAATTTCATTCGACTACCTAGGATGATGACAGTCATAAAGTAGCTGAAGTCTATTTTTTCTGATCGTTTAAACAGATGGATTCAAATAAATATTAAGTAGACATTGACAAACTGAATCAAAAATATAGGTATTTGCTTTCATTCTTATACTTTCTTGCTTCGACGCGTTTTTTACCTATTTTATATACTTATATACTCAACTTTAATGATAGATATAGGTATACCTAATTTAAATAATTTATTTTAATTCTGAATACATTTTTCATATGTAGTAACGTTGTTTTTTCATAAATATTTAACGGCTACGTAATATTTGCACGCAAATTGTACACTCTCCACCTGAAACTAACTTAGGAGAGACGAGTTTCGAGTGTAGAGTGTGAATCGTGAAATCTGATGATTTGGAATTTTACAACCAGATTGAAGTTTCTCAAATAAATCAAGTACTTATCCGACATAAGAAGCATTTAAGTTGTTGCGTAGAGTAACAGTGATATTAGACAATCAAAAATTAAAAGAAATTATTACTTCATTTAGCTTGTTAACGCATTTATCGGTAAACATTTGGTTTGTTATTGTTTTCTTCTGTTAAAATATAATTTTTAATTGAAGTTTTTTAAGTATAAAACACAATTTTCAAAATTGTCCAATAAATATTGACACAGTGTTCTTTACCTTTACTAAGTAATTTATTGGCAAATAAAAAGCTGCTGGTGTCACAAGAGTTGTCGGTATATTGGTAGGATATTTGAATTGTGTCGACTTTATTTATTCAAATATATTTATAATCTTTATGAATATTTTTGACACCTATTGAAAACTGAAATATCGCAGCATTCCATCATGTTTTTCTCACTAAATTAACATTGAGAGTTTCTCCTTCTAATGAGTTGCCGAATTCATAACTTAGTTGTGCCCAAATGTTTTCAACATGCATTTTCTATGCTCATATTAAATATACAATTTAATATGCATTAAATTCCTTTTCCAGTTGAACACATGTGTTTCAAACTCTGCCGTTTTTTCCATAGAATATGTTTTTCGAGAAATTTCTTTTCTCTTATGAGCATATCATGTTCCATTTGAAAAACATGTTAATCAGTTTTTTTCGTTCCTATGTCATTGTCGTTATGGTTCACATCAAAAATTAACGAAGAGCTAGAAAATTCTCTTCTTCCTTTCCTTGTAATGATAACGAAATAGACCATAAGTGTCATTAACATATTTTTTATTTCCTTACAGAATATATTCAAATAAAGCAGCACAATAAGAGAAACAAATAAAAATAATATGACATTAAGCTTCCAATTGACTTTGCTCTGTGTGAGCTTTCTTACAATCGTTGCCAGTGCCGTTCCAAAGCCAGATGAGAAACGTGTACTCGATCACGATTTCACACAACATATGGGTGACGAACATAATAAACAGTATGATCACGAACAGTTCTTAGGAGAAGATCAAGCAAAAACATTTGATCAACTTGCACCAGAAGAAAGTCGTCGACGACTCGGGTAAGTTTTTATATTTATTACTTTAATTATTTATGAACAAAAAATGCAAACTTCTTGCCATACATCATTTGACAAATTGTTTAATTCAACTTTGTGCAATTGAAATTAATGAAGCGTGATAACGATAAAAGCGGAAGTTTGCATTTAGTTAAGATTCGTTTTATGTTAAACTTAAAAATATTTCCTTCTTCATAGTGTAATTGTCGATAAAATTGACACAAACAAAGATGGTTTTGTGGATCTTTCGGAGTTGAAAGCTTGGATTCAATTCACACAGCGTCGTTATATTGAAGATGACGTACAACGTCAGTGGAAGTCACATAATTCGGAAAACAATGATACTATTCATTGGGATGTATACAGAACAGCTGTTTATGGCTTCATGGACGAAATGGATCCATTAGATCTTGAAAAGGAAGACAATGGTTTCTCATATAAAGCAATGCTAACAAGAGATAGACGAAGATGGAGTGTTTCTGATCGTGATGGAGATGATGCTTTGACAAAGGCTGAATTTACTGATTTTCTTCATCCTGAAGAATCGCCTTATATGCGCGATGTTGTCGTGACTGAAACTGTTGAAGATATTGATAAAGATAATGATGGGAAAATCTCAGTGGAAGAGTATATCGGAGACATGTATCGAGCAACAGATGATGAAGCTGACGAACCTGACTGGGTTAAACATGAGCGAGAAACATTTGCAACGTTTCGTGACAAGGACGGTGATGGATCATTGAATAATGACGAAGTCAAAGATTGGATTATCCCACAAGATTTCGATCATGCTGAAGCCGAAGCGAAACATTTAATTTATGAAGCTGACTCTGACTCAGATGAGAAATTAACCAAAGAAGAAATACTTAGCAAATATGATGTGTTCGTTGGATCGCAGGCAACTGATTTTGGTAAAAATAAAATTGTTTTAAATTTATTAAAAAACTAATTATATTTTTGTTCATTCTCTAGGTGAAGCTTTGGTTCGACATGACGAATTTTAATCAAAGCATTCTTCATTCTTGAAATCTTCACAATGCCAGTAGAAAAGCAAACTTTAAGATATTTTTGATAAGAATTTTCTGTTTTCCTTTTTTCATATTTTTGTATTTAAGTTTTTTTTGAAAATCTCGATGCCTCTAAACTGTGGCTGGTCAATGGAAGTGCGAAAAAAATGTCTTACATGATTAAAACGAATATCATAACGAATCTCATGAAATGAAATATTTGAAAGGAAGAAAAAAAAATCTTTTCAAAAATCCCAAATTTAACTAAAAGTGCAAAATATTTTTTATGTTTTCTCATTTTCAAGAATAAGTCAAGGAGAGTTTAAACCCTTCGTTATTTCGACATTTTGTAAACGCAGACGGTTGTTTAATATCAAATTAAATTAATTATCTTCTAACATTTCACTGCAAGGAAGTTTTTCTTCATCTTGTGTCTTCTTTAATTAAAATTGATAGTTTCAAATCGCACAAATTGAAAGTAAAATTAAAAATCACTGAAATTGAGTTGAATATAAAAATAAACGTGCCAAAGCAAGAAAGGATGAAGATGAAAATGATGACAAATATTTTAATTAATTTTTTTACTCCTTTTTACTGTTACCTACTTAGGATGGGAAATTAATTTTATCATTGAAGTCTTTTTTTTTCTCTCTTCAACTTTTCATTTCACTTAATCTTTCGTCTCTCTAAATTCAATCAATGTTTTATATGATTTGAACGACTCATAATAATAGGAAGCTTTAATCGAAGCTTCCTTCTAATCCAATAAGAAGTCGAATTAAGGCATTAACAACAATTATTTCTAAACTTAATGTTATTTTTGCAATTGTTTGATGTGAAAATTTCCATTGAAATGCTCAGTTTTTAATCAAAGAAATAAAACGACTAATTTGAAAGGAAAAGGTTTTTGGTTTATAAAAACTCGATTAGATTTCAGGAAGATGATTTTTACGGCAGATATCATGTTGATGGACATTTATAATAGATGCAATTTTCTATAAATATTATCATACATCTTCAAATGGTTTTTCTCGAGAGATCTTTGACAAGTACTCAATAAATGTCTTTCTTAATCACAACCGTTTATTCAATAAAAAATTGTAAATTACAACTTTTGATGAACTGACTTTTGACTGATCAAGTCTGAATATTCAAAAAGTACTTCAAACTCATGTTAAATAATTTAATTACGTTTTAGATGTTTAAGCAGGCGTTGAAGAATGTCTACTTAATAATTATTTGAATCCATCTGTTTAAACGATAACAAAAAAAAAGACTTCAGCTACTTTTTGACTATCATCGAATGAAATTGAAATTTCAAGGACAATTGAATTTGAGATTAAACAATGAAAAGTCCTGAAAACGAGTTTAAGAAAATCCGGCAAAATAATTTGATAATTTAACAGTTTCAAGAAGGTCGTGATTTGTACCAAATTTTGTTAAAAATTTCGAGAAAATTTAAGGATATTCATTTTATAGTTGTAAATTCAATTTTCTTAGGTGATTGAATGTTCTTTTTTATTTTTTGAATTCAATTGATTACAATTAAGATACGAAATGTTAGGAGAGATCTCCTATGGAGTTTGAACAAACTTTGTCAATCTTGCGATGAAATTAATCTTGTCTTTGTTCAGCAAGTGCGACAATGTCGTCAATTACTTCTCGACGGAATCGTCTCAATGCCCTTGCACGTTTAAATACTAATATGGGAAATAAATTAAAAGTATTGTTTAAGAACTGACTGAAGAGGTTTAATAACATTTGTATCACTTACAATCTCTCAAACCTCGGTTCAAGGCTCTAGCAATTTGACGAATACTTCTCAAAGCTTGTCTGACATTTTCATTTTCAGCTGCAGTTACTCCAACTTCCGCTAAACCTGCATCAGTTGCTGCCAAAAGAGCTACAAGGTCACTACGGATGGAATCAATTTCGTCCAAAACTGTGTGTTGAAGGAATTAAAATTAAGAATTAATAAAATTTTGTTTTACATTTTTCTTTTAAATATTGAAATGTTATCAGAAACTCACGTTCAGCTCCATTTTCGTCAATAATATTTTTTGCCTGGGTAAGTCCATATTGAAGCTCTTGCAATGTCAATGATTGAAGATCCAACCTTTGGAAAAGGTTTTGAAGAATTCCAGCATTTGCAGTGCTGGCAATGAATAAGACGAGAACAATCCAAACTTTCATGATAGAAGTTGTAAGTTTTGAACAATTACTTTAAGCAAGTCGAACTAAAATGATAGCTCCGATCTCGTTTGATGAATATTTATAGTGTATGAAGGTGTCTACACAAGTGTTACTTAGAAACTTTGAAATGAGATCACAAAAATATTCCACGAGTTGTTTGTTATTGTTCGTACGATCCTTTCAATGAAGAATATTTTTTGCTTTTTAAAAAGAACGAATGCGAAAATGATGTTAAATGATAAAATAATGTTGCATAACAAAAATTGCTTTGGATCGTCTCATGTCTTCCATTAAAAACAAGTTGTTCAATTATTATTTAAGTGACGTTTTCAAATGTGAGTTTTTGTGTTTTAGTCTGTTTAATACTTAAAAATTCTTTTAAATGTTTACATTTGTTGGCATCAGATGGAATTGGGAATAATAATTAAACATTTAATATTGTCTTCAACACAAACTGTTGTGCTTGCTATTGCGAGATCACCTCCGCCAATTCATTTATGAAATGTGAACTAAGACAATCTGAAAATGTACTTCAGCTGGAACGGATTTTTTTTCTAAGATAAAAGTTAAATTATTTCCATGTTTAGTCTTTTTTAACTAAGAGCCTCTAGGCTTTCAAACTGGTAAACATGCAAGCAAATTAATTTTTCCTTCATTTTCCACCATTCATTTGATTCCCTAGGAATCGTTTTCAAACTTTCATTCCATTGACTTTTTCCAGTCGATAAAGCCATGCGGCATGCCGAAATGGGCATAAAGAAGTAAGAAATTCAACAGAAATTTAATAAATCATAAAGCAAACGTCATTAAATTCGAAAAACATTCCGGTAATATCGAAGAAGCGAAAAAAAAAAACTTCATGAAAGAGAAAAATGAAGCAAAATGGAATTTTTATTTTTATTATCCAATTACAATTATGAGGAATTCAATTTAATGGGGCACTTGAGATGAGCGACAGAATGTGAGTCAATGTCTGTGGTGAAATGATGAAAATAAGATAATTTTCGGTCGTCTAAAGGATTTTCCTGTGCGGAAAATGCGATTTATTTATTTCTAATTCTCGCATATAAAATTGAATATCTCATTGATTGAAAATAAAAACGAAAGCAATTTAACGCTTGGAAATCCACAAAAATTCCCATTGTAAATCAAGAATGCTTCATCAAAAAGTACTCATTAAAAATTACGTTAATTGTCGGAAAAAAACGAGGAAACTTTTTCATAATTTCCAAACAATTTTCCTTCATAGAATTTCAATGACATTTACCACCCACGCTATGTGTAAATGATTTTAAAAGGGCAAGCTGTGAAACTGATTTTTTTTTGTAATGACTTCTCATTCCATGAGGGAAAGAAAAAAAAATTGTCAACCAGTAATAATTGGATAAAAAACAAAAATATGTTGGTTGAGCCGAATTATTTTTTAATTAAATGAAAATAAAATTATATAGTACAATGTAAAGCGAACCAAATTCCGTTACTGTTGTGGAAATGGAAAACAACGAAAAAAAAAATCATCATTTTAATCCGCAGTTTAATTTAATTTCATTTTTTTTTCTTTTTTTTAACGAGGCGAGGCTTTTGTTTTCTTGGAGTGAGCAGAGAATTACGGAGGCCCCACCCTAGGGTGACGGGCAACCGTATTGGATTTGCCCAAAAATTTCAAAAAATTTTCTTTGCTTAATTACACTTAAAATGGGTTGAAACGTCGAGAAAAGTGGAAAAAAACGAAAAAAAAATTTCTGTCCGCTTTCGGGTCTGTGGGGATGGATGGATGGATGTAAACACTCGCATTTCTACATTTCTTAACCGATTTGGAAAATTTCTTTACGTAAGTGTTTTAAATACAAATAGAATTTTTCTATCAAGTTATGGGGTGTGTACCTTTAATATTTCGGGTACCTGCCATACAAAGTTGCCCTTTTCCTAGCGAAAAAAAAAAAACATTGCTAGCGAAAAAAAAAAAACATTCCTAGCGAAAAAAAAAAAACATTCCTAGCGAAAAAAAAAAAACATTCACAGCGAAAAAAAAAAAACATCGCGAAGATGAAATTGCGTAATGTTGTCATTTTCACGTGCCACTTATGACCATTGCCCTCAAAACGCTTATGGCTTTTGATGGTGGTTCCTATATGGCCAGGATTGGCCTATAGGTGCCTGTCCTTGATCTGATGATGATGATGATGACATCGCGAAGAAAAAAAAACTTCGTATAGAATTCAGACGAGTGTCTCATTTCAAAGCGTCAGAGCGTGTTTTTTTTAAGGGAAAAAAGTCTGTTACCGAAAGTCGGCCCCAACAATAAATATCGTGCAAAAGCCCGATATTTAAAACTCCGGCAGTTATAGAATTTCTAGACGAACAGTATTAGTAAAAATCTAACTCCAATAAGGGGCCACTTTGTGTAAAAAGTTTCTGGAATATCGAAGGTGGAAACATTATACAAAGTGGCCCGTTATTGGAGTTAGATTTTTACTAATACTGTTCGTCTAGAAATTCTATAATAGCCGGAGTTTTAAATATCTGGCTTTTGCACGATATTTATTGTTGGGGCCGACTTTCGGTAACAGACTTTTTTTTTTTGTCTTCTAATGAAGGAAAAAGTGAGCGGCATTATAATGAATAAATAAAGTGAGGGTGGATGGCGCAGAGATCATTATAATATTTTTTAATTACATCATGGAAAAACAGAATTAATGCAAGAAGATGATGAAATGTTTCCCTTCTGGTGGTTTACAAACTGCAGGGGCTTCAATGTTTTTTTAAGAAACAAGAAAATGTTTACTTTCATCGTTTGTGAGTCGTTAAATATTTTAATTTGACATCTCGAAATTGAAATCGTCATCCCTGCAACACTCACACCAGGAAAAAAGTAATTAAATTTCCCGCCTACGTTGTTGACGGTCAGGACTCAATTACACAATTTTTTAAATGGGTAAACGATGGACAAGTCGGGCTTTTGATACATGAAATGAGCATTTTTCTGCTGGGCAGTCATTATTATAAAGACGACAATGCGATGGTTTAAAAGTTATTTTTTCTATGAATTCAATTTCCTGAAAAATGTTTAAGAGTTGAATTTTTTTTAATTAGAATAATTTCTCGTATGCCGAGACTGTCGGGTGTTGATTAAGAGAAATGAGAGGATGATGAAGGTGAAAAAGGAAGTCTGCAGGTAGCTTCACTTCATTCCACTCAAGTAACATAATTTAAAACAATTTTTAATTAACAAAAGAGTCTTTACATTTAATTCTTCATCAACAGCAAACCATGCATGAAAGTCATACAATTTGGAATTTAATTGAATGTAATTTAAATTTTTCTCGAGCATAAATCTTGTGTAATTTGTTCTATGACTTTTTTAGCATTCAAGTGTCCATGTCATGTACTTTTTAATTAATTTCTTTCTCAGAAAATATTTGCGGTAAATTGGAATACTTGAGGTCGTTTGGGGAAATCTATTTAAAAGAGAAAACCTGAAATAATGAAATGTTGAAAGAAATCATCGCGAATTATGAGACATTTTCATTATTTATCATTGATGGAAATATGATTGCAGTTCAATTTAATAAATAGGAAAACCTTCAGAAGAAAAAAAGCATTTCCTAAATCAATAAATAATCAAAGTTTTCCTTAACGAAATGAAAATATTCGCGATATCGACATGGCAACATTTGCTTAATTTTCCAAGTAAAATCTTCCATTTGCAAACGATATTGAAATAAACTTTCATATCAATGTAATTAAATAACATCAAACAATAACAGAAATGGTGTTATTAGAACAAACACAATATTTTGCTCCCCAATTTCAACATCACATTCATCATTTTCTACACATGTTCTTTGAACGGCTACGACATATTTCCATGATGTGATAAGAGATGTTAGAGAGTAAGAACGTTAATGCTTCAATCCCCTTTCCTTCACGAGCTCACACATAACTTATTTTTTAATTAAAAAAGTTCATTTCACTCATTTCTTCCTTATTGTTTTATTTCCTTTCTTCTCCATTCGCAGCTCATTGTGTCTCGTTTTTAGCGTTTTAATTTGATGGTGTGAGCGCCACGGAAGTCTCGAGACTTTACTTTTATTTAATTTTCTCGTTCATTTTTTTTTTCCTGGTTTTCTTTCTTGGTTTTCAGACTCAATTTCTGCAGCGAACAGAACAAAAAAAATCTTTTTTTTCTCGCTGGGGTTGCGGGCGATTATCTTTGTTCATTTTCATTAATGGTTATTGCCTCGTATCTCGTATTATTAAAATTCAATGAAACTTTTCCTCTTTTTCCGCCTCTATGCATCTTTTTTCTCTTTTTTGCTTTCGCTTACTTACTGATATCAGAATGGCAAAATCTAAATTAATTAAGCAGACGAAAAAATCTCATTAACGTAAATAATAATTAGTTTTTCTTTAATGCAATTCTTCTCTTCCTCTCGTAAATACCAACTTCCCTTCATCAGGAATTTTTCGAGTACTCGTGCTGTGAAAAGTTGGGGAAAAGTGGTTTTCATTGTTCAATTTTATTGCTTTTTAAGACTGTTACGACTTGATGAAGAATGAACATATTTACTTCACTCATTAAATTCGCTTTTAAAAAATAAATTAATTGACGGTTTCAACGTTTCTCTGCTATAATAAAAAATAGTTTTTAAAAATCAACATTTGCTCAACTAAATTATAAAAAGTAAACGACAAACAGCCCGTCAAACGATCGCGTTATTAAGCGTGAAAAGTTTTTAATCAAAGACAATTGTCAGAAAGAAAATAGAAAAATTAATTTTCCGCTCATTTTCCTACAATAGCGATAAAGGAAAGAAATTTTTCTTCTTTTAAGTTATACTTATGGGATATAAAAAAAAACTTCTTTTTCTCTTGTAACTGCTTTCGATGTGAGTTGTTGAGATGGAATGAGCAGAAACGAATATGGCACAAGAAACAAGGAGAACGAGAAAATGTGGTGTAGATACAGCATTGCATCTCCAACAGAGTCTAATTAAAAATTATAATTAGAAATTGTAAGAGAGTGTAATTAAAATTAATTAATTATAATTTCAATTAAAAGAAAACAGTATACAGTCTCGTTTTCGGCGGGCGAGAAACGAGGTGGTAGATCTTCATTGTGAATGAGAGCACGGGAGCGGTGATGGAAAATCCTTCAGAAACGAAATATTTTTAGAGAGAGAGCCTTTAATTATTTTCGTCGTTGACACATAGTCTCGTGCATAGATAAAACGAAACTAAAATTTTTAACAGAAAATTTCAATTCATTAATTTCTTCAGACGAAAATTGTGTGAATAAGAAGGAAGAAAAAATGATGCGATGGTTGGACATCAACATTTCATTTAGTCATTGATATTTGCTCACAAAACATTTTCGCAATTATGTTGATACTTTTTTTCTTCTTTTAATTTCCTCCACATCTGAGCCCGAGAGTAATTTCAGCGTTAATTAGTTCGCATAATTGGATTAGATGAGTAAATTGAGGAATCCGGTTAGATGTAGGAATGAGTAACATGGCAATAAATTGCTTTATCGCTCTGACTTTCACCGCCTGTCGCTTAAGTCGCATTTGACGTAGTTTTTTGCTTAATTTCATAAATATGAAATGTGAACCGTAAGCGAACAAATTAAATTAATGACAAGATGTGTGACACTGACGTAAATTTTCTCTACTTTTCCCTCAACATTATGAGATTCTTTATGTATTTATTGTTAGGAAATGAAGGTGAATTATGAATTCCAATTTTTTGTTCTGCTTGCGTTCCTTTTCGCTGGCAAATTTCTTTTTATTCGTCGCATATTTCATCATCGCGCTCGCGAATGCTTTCAGCAATTTCCAATTTCAGTTTCCAATTTTCAGCCTTTTGTGCGTCAATCACTGCTGATGATTGACATTCTTGTATTAATTTCTCTTTCCGTTGAGCTTTTTTTTTCGTCTGATGAGATTGTTTCTGACACAAGTCAGGTTTTAATTAAAAAGATCAAGTCCTTGATATCCTTAGCTTTTCAATAAAGTATGGAAAGGTGATAACTTTGCCTAAAATCAATTAAAACGTGTTGACAATTTTTTTTTCTATTTGTTTTCGTGTTGCTAAGCAACTTCTTGTGCCACAATAAAGAATAAGGTATCTTTAAAAACACAATTAGTTTGAAGATTTCTTATTAAAATTTCGATATCTAATTGAATTTTACGTACTGAAATCAGGTAAGTGGAAATTGATATGAATGAATATAGAATTGACGTCATAAAAAATAATTACAGCATGTCAAAAACAAGATGGCTTGACGCACTTTCCGATGGGACTGCTGGTTTAAAAACAATATCGTCATGCATGAGTGTCTGCGACTTAAAGAACGACAATTATTACAAACTTATAGCAGCCGAAATTTCATTTGATCTGGAGATTAAACCAAGGTTAAGAGTATACAAAGGAACACAAGTTGTACACGATCAGAACTTGCCGGGAATTCCATCAGCTGTTGAAAGTTTGTATATTGATGAAACACATCCGAAAATGCCGAGTAAATTACAATTGTAATCTTTAAATTTTATGTTAACATTTTTATTGATTAATCTTTAAGTTGTCGCTGTTTCCGTTGGTCCGTCAATATTATTTTATCGCAACATGAAACCATATTTCAAATACACTGTCCCGAGTTTGATAATTGAGCCACTGGAGATGGAGATTTGGAAGAAGTTGGTCTCTGATCGTTCTGACAATTACCAGAAGCATATTGACGATTTAAAGTCTATAAACACATCAGAATTATCAACTTTATCACAACAATTAATTACATTGAATGATGATGAACGTGAATTTTTTATAAGAGACAACATGGAACCTAAACTTGAACGTTTGCCGACAATAGTTGCAATGACGAAAATTTACAAAAGTATTGAAGAGGAAAAAAGTTCAAATTGTCTGATAATCGCAACCGAATCAAGTGACATTCTCATAATGGACGTGCAATCTTTTAATATTTTACATCAAGCGAGAGTTTGTAATTTCAAAGCAACGCCTGATCTTCTATCAGCCAGCGGATCATTTCAAAATGATTTCAAAATTGTTATTGCAACAAGGGAAGGTTCATTGTGCATCCTGAGAAAGAATTGGCTTGAAGGTCGAGAAATCGTTAAATTAGAGAATCCAGCAACTGCCATGTGCTTACTACAAATAGATCAGACAATTGTTGTTCTGAGTAATTCTTTAATGTGCTATTCAAAGAAAGGAAAATTGCTCTACTCAAATGTCATGACAGAAACTGTAATGTGTATGACTCCAGTTTCATTACCTCATCTTGGTGTTTCATTAGTAAATAAGTTTCCAGAATCAAGACGATTCCGATGATGTTAATCTTCTTCTTCTTTTAGATTTGTGTTGGACTTAAAGGTGGATTAGTTCAACTTTATTCGCAGAAGGAACTCATTGATCAGTTTTATGCTTCGGGTGAGTTTCATAAATTTTCCTTGAACTTTTCCATTCAATGAATTATCTTCTTCAGACACCGTTCTTGCAATGACTTTTGGGAAACTTGGTCTAGAAGATCATGTTCTGGTGCTCGTCACTAACAGTAAATACTTAAGAATATTTTATATAATTTAATTAATTATGTTTCATCACTCAGATGGATCACTTTTAATTAAGATTTTAAAAAGAACTGCTGAGTTCTCGGAACCACTTTCTGTTGAATCGAAGACAACTGAAGATTCTACAAATATGACTGTAGCAATACCAAAGAAAACAAAAATTTTCATTGAACAAACAATTCGAGAGAAAGAAAACGCTTCGGCGATTCACAATATTTTTCAATCTGAATTATGGCGAATGCGTTTGGAAGCAGCAAAGACAACAATTGACATTCTAAGAACGGGCGATTCGACATTTTCTGGAGATTATCAAACGCCTTTGAAGCTTCTTGCACAAGTAGATGGTCTTGGACCTGATTTCTTACTAACTGTGACTTTAGAAAATATCTCAGCTACGAAAATTGCTGGAAATTTATCAATTCTCTTACACGCTGATCCAGAACATTACAAGATTAAAAGAAGATACGCTGATCTATCACCTTTGATGCCAGGTAAGTTTATTTTCCATCCTAAAATTTAGGTTTGATTAAGCTTGAAAAATTCCTAGGAATTCCTTTGGAAATGGATTTTCAAGTCTCAGTAGCCTTAACGCCAGATAATTTGTTACCAAGTGATATGACAACAGAAAACTCAATCATTCGAGTTTTAATAATCAAAGAAAATTTATCGAAACCTTTGATCGCTTCAACTGTTGTGATGCCTCAACCAGAACTACAATTATTGATAACTTAATGAAGATGAAGGAAATAAATAAAGAAAAATGTTTTATTTGTTGTCTTTAATACTTCACGCTTCATTTCCTTCCATAATTTTTCTACTTGAATAAAAAGTTAATTACTTCTTCATTGTGTCTAATTGAAGACAGAAGAACACAACTTTTCACTTTTTAAAGCTAAGTAAAATGATCTCAACAAAATATTTAAATAATTCATGTGCATCAAGAGAATTGCACTAAAATATTTCTCATGTTTCCTCAATTAGAAGAATCTAGTTTAGTTCCCATAAAGTTTTCATAGCCAACAATGATGTTACTCAATGCATGTTGCAAGTGTGGGAGACTCATTCAACTTTATTTACAGAGCATCTGTCTTTTTATTCTTCTCGCTTCACTACATCCACTTTTAATTACATCTGCATCACTACTTCATGATGCTGCAACAATTAATTGTCATTGCGCGAATGTATGGAAAAAATTTCTCATCAAATCTCCCTGGTGATTGCTTTCATAGCTCGTAAAGTTCAAAATGAAAATTAATACCTTGGTTGACATTTATTTAGTACCGACAAATCATCTGTTGTGTTCTCTAACCCTTTACAACCACCCAACATCAAATGAACAAATTGATACGATACTCAATCTCTACTATCGCAACAGATATCGTTAGCGCAATCTTTTATATTGTGATGACAGGTGATGCAATGGCAAAAAAAGGAATTGAAATATGAAGCGATTCAACGGACAATAATGATCATAAATTTGTAGAAAAAAGTTCTTTTGTTTTCATGAACCATACGATGAAATCTGATTGAAAGTGATACGCACGAAATAATAGAGTTTCATTAATCCAATTTTTGCATCGATATAAAACAAAAGCTTTTTGCAACATGAAACTGTACATCGCGGGTTGCATGGTACTTAATTTAATTATTTTTTATATCTGATTTGTTTATATTTATTGATGCATGAAATTTATATTTCACAAGTGAAGGCAGCTTGTTTTCAGTTTACCATAATGATTGTTTAAATTGAGTCTTTTTGCATATAATTTAAAGGATGTTTACACAAAAAGATGATTACACAGATTGGAGCTTTTATTATTGATGTAAAAATGTTTCAAAATCCAGACAGCAGTGAGTTGAGGATTTAATCGAGCACGTTACGGCTTTGAAAACCTTTTAGTTTGTTGACCTTTGATCTATGATCTCAAACCTTTCTTTAATTGAATTTTATGTTCAAGAGTCTCCTCAGTTTATGGAAATATTTGTCAATGATGTAAAAATATTCTTAAATGTTTTCTTCCATATATCTCCCAAATTTAAAATGCTTAAGTTACAGCACTTCATAACAAACCTTTTATCAAAATTGTGAACTTACATATAATATTTTTTTCTCAATTTATTCTCATCCAAGCAGAAACAAAAAAGAAAAAGAAAAGAAGGAAAAAAAGATGAAAAAGCTTCTACAACTCTCCTTAAACTGAAATGAATTTGTAATAAGCTGCTTTTGCGAGATTGTTTAGTCCGATATGTATGTTGGAGAAGAAAGTCCTTTACGCTCGAAGAAATCGATGTGTATAAGTTTTCTATAACAATCTAGTGTGAAAATATCCTTAAACATTGGATTCGTATTACCAATTTCAAATCAATACACCTTACTTTCTTGATGTTTAAATGGATTAGATTCATGTATGAAAAGAACAAGGACGATGAAATTTGCTTTCACCTTTTCCATTTTTATTTTTTGTTTTTGTTTCTGGCGAAAACAAGCAAAGAAATGGAATAAAATTGTTCTTCCATTTACAGCATGTAAGTTATGCTAATGGAATGTATATGTCACATGAATCGGAACATTTTTGGCAGCACCATTCATTTGTCAATCGGATTTTGTTGTTGCTGTTGAAAGCGAAGATGATGGAAATTCTCAAAAATCTGCAAAGTGCTTTTATGGGTAATCCTTAAGTTGTGTCTGGTTGAAATTGAATGCGTAAAAGGATTATTGTTTGCTATGTACACATTACATATAAAGTATGAAAGCTATTAAGCTCTCGATGTAAACTTTCTGCAAAGAATTCTGTTTATATTTCCAAAATATTTATTTAACAAACATTAAGTGAATCATAAAAAAACAGTCAAATGTACATTTCCATAATTTTTCTTATGATTCAAAAAAAATTTATTCTTGCGACTTTTACACATCGAATAACAAAAATAAAAAATAAGTTCATCATCTCATTATTGATATTATTACAAGATATTTTGTTTTTATTTCAACTAATCAATTTTCACGTCATTCTCTTGATTGATTCAATTGAATTTTGCGAGACTTTTTCTTTTCTCCACTTCAGTTTTTCTCTTTTTCCAATAAAAAAGTTCACATCGATGCAAACTCTATTTCAATGCTGATTTTTTTTCATCTTAAGTTGTGTCTTATACGTCCATAAATATGGTAATTTATTCATAGAACGATCGTTGTGTCATGATGGTTTTTATCGTGATGGTTATTGTTGAACAAGCTGATGGGGCTTCTCAAAGGATTCGGAATCGTCGGGTGAATCGTAGCCACTTGATGCATCATCACGGTCTGGTCTTATTCTAAAGCTCATCATGGGTACTTCGTTTGAATCAGAAGATCCTACTTGTGCTAGACTCGAAGTGGAAGGCATGGTGCTGTTGGTATTTCGACTTTCTGTGGCTGGCTAGAACAAGTTTGAAGAAGTTTCATTAATTGTAAAAGAAAACTTTTTAATAAATCATAACTTTGACCAAACTAAATGCATTCTACGAGTAAAAATTAAGTGCTTTTTTATTTTTATTCATCTAAGCAATTAATTTTTAGAATCTAAACGAGATAACTTATGCTGAAGTTTCTGTTATATTTTTCCTTTTTTAAATTTTTCATCCTTTCTCTAGCAAACTCGTATCTGAGTGAATTTAAGAAAGTTTTTTGCAAACATCGTTAAATGTTTCTTATTTAATTTTTTAAAAAGGGGAAATCAGCTCAAGTTTCAATGAAAAGAGATGGTTTTTGTTTAAGTTCAATAGATTAATTCAATATATAGAGTTTCTCAATGTCTGATGATTGATTTTATTTCTATTAAGTATTGAGTTATGTTTTGTATTTAAAAGACAAATAAATCTTATAATTACCTAATAAGAAGAACTTTATGTTGAAAATTTCAGAGATATAAAATATTTTAAACAATGTTTTCCAAACAAAAAAAAATTCTAAAGCTTCATTTTATCAACAACAAACCTTCGTAAACGTTGAATAATTTAAAAAGTTTTTCATTTGATGAATTTCCATTAAGCTCATGAGAACATAATGTATGAGAAATAATAACATCATCAAACCAACCTTCTTGTCTTAAAAGCTCGAAGAACATTGTCTGCTCTTCCGAAATTACTTTTGCCCAAACTCTCCCCAAATTTCTCACTCCACGTTAAAGTTTCTTTGGGGAAGTGAAAGCTAAAATGTAATTTATGTAATAGGAATTCTTCATTCTTTCTCACTCATTCCAATTCTTAGCCACCAATTTGCACAATTCGCAAGTGGAGGGTGATATTTTTTTTGTGGATACGAGAAATATAATTATAGAAATTGTTTTAGTGCCTTTTTGTTGTTTTTGTGTGTGGTAAGCATGTTCGCAAAACATTTCATTATTTGTTGCTATTTTGTGTTGCCATATGGCAAATGATATGTTCGGGGATTACATTTGAAATAAACCAACAATACACTCGCTTATCCAAAAACCAAACAGTTTTGGAGTTGAATTTTATTTCATATTTAGCACGAACCATGCATGAAAGTAATTAATTAAATTGAATTAAATTAAATTTAATTAATTATAAAGTTTGTTGTTGAATCTACATAAAACATGAAAAGCGAATAAGTGAAATATGTAGTAAGTATGTAAGCATTAACAATTATAGTTTTACGATTGAATGGATGAAGTTGAAACGTTGTGCGGGTGGAAACGAGGAGGAGATATTTTG